AGCCAGGTGTTCAAAGATATTTTCGAACGATTTGTGTGTCATCATCCCACCAACAATTAAGGAATTTATTTCAGGAAAAAAAAAACAACAAAAAAATGTTACAAGGGAATGTAATTTGGTTTATTGAGCAACAACAACAACAAAAATGTAATGGAAATTATTTTGTTGTCAAACCAGGAAGTTTTTTGGTTTAATTAAAAAATGCAGGTAATTTTTATGGAGTTATTACAAATTATTAAAAAGAATTGAGACTCACCTGTTTTTGTGTGTTCCGCTGATTTGTTGTTGAAGATGATGATCAAGAATCTGTTGTTGTTGTTTTTAATTTCTGGTTGTTAAGGTTTTTTATTCTTCCTTTTTTGTTTTTTTTTTTTTCTTTTTTGGGGCTTGACAATTGCAGTGTTATTTTTAATTTATTTTATTAAAACATTTTTTCCTTCAAAATTTTGGTGATTCAAAAATTCGCACACACCCAGCTGTGTCTGACACTTGCCCAACAGCAGATATCAGGTGGTGATGACAGCTCAAATGCACTATTCTTTTTTTGTAAAATAAAAGAAATAAACAATAATGAAAAAAATTATGAATGTATTTTTTTATGAAATATTTTTATTTATAATATTTTTTTTCACTCAACAATTGTTTAATTTTAGCATGAATTTTTTTTTGTTTATTTATTATTTTTATGGCGAATTTTTATTGCTTTTGTTTATTTTTTATTATTATTTTTCATAAAAAAAAATCCCCCAAACATTTTATGGCACTGATGCAAAGGCAGAGAAGGCCGTTTGTTTACATTTTGTGTTGTTTTCAGCAAAACACACACACACACACTCTCCCGCAACATTTCTCTCGCCTCTCTCTCTCACAGTACATGAGTTGGGGGAGCCCTCTTTATTCTTTCAATAACGGTCATCAGTTGTAAATTGACATGTTGACTATGACCAACAACCAAAAAAATTTAACTGCCAACAACAAAAGCCCGTTGCAATAATGGACACCACCAAAAAAAATGCAATAAAAATAAATAATAACTACAACAACAAGAAAACCAATGAAACGTAAAAAACCCCCAACAACAATTCAATTCATTGATGCACAAAATGTCATTAAACCCGGAAATGAGTTACAAAAAAAAAACAAAACCGACAAAAAATCACAATTGCACTTCTCTTCCATTACCAACGGTCTTAAACCACTGTTACTCACTTGTTGTTGTTGTTGTTTTTGTTGCTTTATTTAAAAATAATTTCATATTTCAATTTTATGACATTTTTGTTGGTTTTTTTATTGTTGCTGATATTGCGGTGGGGTATTCCAGTAAAAAAATAATACCCTACCTACCCCTCTCACCTCTTCTCCACACAATATTTTTAGCAATTTTTTCAATGCACTGTCACTGTTGTTGTTTTTGGAATTTCTTTTTTTATTATTGTTAATTTTTTGTTGTTTTTTTTTTTTTTTGCTTTCTTTGGCCCCACCAAACACTTCCTCTTTGCAGAAAGAGGCTTAACAGCTAAGAGCTTACACAGCGTTAAGGTAATTTCCACAATTTTTTTGTTTTATTAATTCTCAAATTTGTTGTTTTAATTCTACTATTTCCGTTAATTTGTTGTCGTTTTTTTGGATTCTTTTATTTCCGTTTCAAAAAAAAAAGAAACGGCACTCACAAATTTAAGCCGCCTTGCCTATTATTTTTTCACTATTTCTTTGCTCCTCTTCTTTCGTTTTTAATAATAAAATTCTAATTTCATTATTAATTTGCATAGAATTTATTTTAATTAATATTATTCCATATTTTAATTATTTATATTTTTCGGTTTTCGTCGTCTTTGAAACTTTTATCCGCTCAATGGCCAAACGGCATGACCGACCGTTAAACACAACAAAAATCAACTGAGGAGTTTCAAAATATGTACACACAACACAGAGAGATTTTTTATAAACACAAAATGTGATGGCAATGCGAGTAGCTTTACTCCAGCAGTTGGCAACGAAGCAGAGAAGGGATTCTTTCATTTGCTCTCATTCGCATCGTTTGTTGTTGTGGTAAACAGCTGTTTAATGATTGTTCCGTTTCATTGTCATTTGCAAGTAGAGTTGCCAGATAATGTAATTAAGGGGAATTCATAAAAATATCGTCGTTAATGGTGTTGCCATGTTGAAAACTTATGGGAAATGTGTGACTGAAGGGGGAATTTCTGTTTTTGAGCAATTTAAGGTGTTTGTTCAATAAAAAATGCAAAAAAAGGAGATTAGACCACACAACATAATTGTCAACGAAGGAGAGGTAGCATTCACTCTAATTCGCATAATTTGCTGCTGTTAAACGATTTTTCCGTTTCATTGCCAAAATAGGGTTACCATGTCAGAATTTCATGGGAAATGTGAGGTTATGGGTAAAATTATTTTTTTGAATACTTTTAAATAATTTAAAAAAAAACTAATTCAGACCGATCAACCTAATTGTTAACGAAGCAGAGGCGGTGTTCATTTTCTCTCATTCTCATCTCACCGTTTCCAGAGGTGCTCAAAACCGTGTTCTAGAACATGAAGAGAAAAAAGAGATAATTTAAGAGAAAATTAAAATTCTGTTTTTCTTTATATTTTACGGTTCTATTTAATTGTTTTTAAACACGAATGTTTGCCAAAATAATTTATAAAGCAAATGGATAAAAAATATTTGTATAAATAATGACTTAACACTGTTTTGTTCTTGATTTAAATAAGCAAAGAGAAATTTGACTGAAAAGAGATATTTCTTCTTGAGCACCGCTGCGGCGTTTCATAGCCATTGAAAACAGGATTGCCAGAGTTATACTTAATGACAAATAATGGATTGAGGGGGAATTTCTAAAATCTCATTGTTAATAGTGTTTTCATGTTGCGAACTTATGGATATGTGGGCCTAATGGAGAAATTTTGAATAATTTAAAATAATTGTTTAATTAAATTCAATTAAAATGAAAAAAAGAGAGAGATAAGGCCGCAATATTGAAAACACGATTGCCAGCAATAATTATGATCTGAAGGTGAATTTCCCAAATAGTTAATAGTGTTGCCATATCGGGGTGTTATGGGGATTATGGGGTGGGTGTTTTTTTTAACAATTTGAAATAACTGTTAAATATATAATTTAGTATACAAAATGAGAGATATATAAGACCATATTACATAATTTCGAAGAAAGCAAGGCACCATTCATATCATTTGTTGTTATTACAAACAGCTGTTTAACGACTGTTCCATTTCAAAACCATTGAAAATATGTTGCCAGAGTAAAATTTTATGAAAATATATGGAATGAGGAGGAATTTCTCAAATATTTTTTCGAAGAGCTATAGGAACATTTAAAAAACACAAGAAAAAAAGCAGCCAAGTTCGGCCGGGCCGAACTTTTTATACCCTCCACATTACGAAAGGAACTTACAAAATTTCAGAAAAAAATCGTCGAAAAATACCACCCAAATAAAATCCTTTATATGGGGGCTATAGAAAGACGTGGTGCTGGAGAAGCAATTTTTTGTGATAGGCTGTAGTAACGATTCCGAACTTCAAATACAAAATTTGACGCAATTCCGGTTAATAATGTTGCATATATCAGCAAAATACCGAATAGAGGAAGCTACCGTTGTATGGGGGCTATATCAAGACGTAGACCTGCATAGACAATATTCCGTCAAAGGTTGTAGTACCCATTGCGAACTTAAAATACGAAATTTGACGCAATTCTTGTGTACAATGTCGCGAAAATCCTGGAAATACCTAATACCTCGGGGTAGCATTATATGGGTGCTATATTAAAAGGTAGTCCTTTATAGACAATTCTCTTCCAGGGGGTAAAGAACTCAGAGGGAGCTTCTTGTGTGGATTTTCAGAATATTTCTATGAAAAATGTGGCTAAAATCATCAAAATACCGAATATCGGGGGCTCCACTGTATGGGGGATAGACGATATCGTGGACCTGTAAGTAAAGTACTCCCAGAGAACTCATTGTGAATTTCAGACAATGCCATTGAAAAATGTAACTAAATCATCAATATACCGAATGTCGGGAGGTACAGTTATATGGGGGAAATACGATATCGTTTATCTATATAGACAATTCTCTTTCTGGAAGTTAAGTACTCATAAGGAACTCCTTGTGGGGATTTTCAGAATATTGCATTGAACAATGTGGCTAATATCATTAAAATACCGAATATAGGGGGGGGGGGTTGCTCCATTGTAAGGGGGCTGTACGATATCGTGGACCTTTATACAAATGTCTCTTTCAGAGGGTAAAGTACTCACAGAGAACTTCTTGTGTAAAATTTCAGACAATGCCATTGAAAAATGTGACTAAAATCATCAAAATACCGAATGTCGGGAGGTACAGTTATATGGGGGAAATACGAAATCGTGGATCGATATATCACATCTTTTAACTTGACCCGCCCGCAGACAAAAGACAGATCGGTGCCAAATTTTAGCTTCCTATCTTTATTCGTTTTGACTCTAGCGTGATTACAACAGACGGACGGACAAAGCTAAATCGTCTTAAAATTTTACGCTGATCAATGAGTACGTTGTTGTAACTAGACGCCATGCACATCAAGATCTTGCGTTTTGGACCAAAAAAGTTTGATATCATCTCAAGGTAGCGCTCATCATTCAATTCGTAGCATCTTTAAAGAAATACTCCTCAATGATGCCACCAGCCCATAAAGCGCGGAAAACAATAACTTTTGCTAGAAGCATTGGTAGCTTTTGCAATGCTTCTGGCTGATCTTCACTCCAAAATCTGTAATCTGCATATTTCTTTAATTTTAGTTTTTCTTGTTTTTTTTTAGTAACTTTTTTACAATTGTGATAGGATATATTTACCTGTATATTTCTTCTACGGCGAGAATAAAACATCTATGGAATTTCAATAAAACTTTGCCCCGTTGATCTGATTGCTTTCCTTAAACACCAATTTTAAAAATTTAATCGATTTTCATATTAAAACAACTTTCGCTTTTCGACGATTTTTCATGCATTTATTTGATTGTTTGCATTTCGGCAATTTTCTCTTGTAATGCCCCAACTATATTCAGTTCTATGTATTCACTTATCTGTAAGAAATTAAATAATTTTAAATTTAGATTTTCTAATTAGTTCCCTATAAACCTCACCGTCATTCGCAAGTCATAGTTATTTTGTGCTACCGAAATATCAATTTTCCACAATTTCGCCAAATGTTCTGCGTAATCTTTTAGCTTCTCTAATTCACGTTTGGTATATGAAAAATAATTACGATAGCCGGCTTTTTCGAAATCCTTATTTTGGCCAAAGACAATGGCATTCACCAGGAATCCAATGCTTTGTATTAAGATATAAACAATGCGAGTATTGTCCTCCTTGATCAATAGCTGATCATCGAGTTCATTGAGAATTTTAATAAGTTCACTTAACTCATGGAAACAATACATTTGTATATTCGTTTCGGTTATATTAAACAATATTGTCCATATTAAACAGATGGCTATGGCCCGTCCCGTTTCGCTGGCAATTGAAATCTGATGGCATATTGCAATTACATTAAACACAAAATCAATGTCATCCGTTTTCAGGGCATCCCACAGACGTTTGGTGGCCACATGAAGCTGAAAGAAAAAGAAGGAAAATTAGAAGTTTTTACATGCTCTGTCCCAGTGCCTGCAGGAATCTATAAGTTTTGCATTTTTCTCCGATATCATAAAGGGAAAATCAATTACCATAGTAAACACTATTACATTCTTACATTCTGGAACAGGCCACCAATGAATTGACTTTATTACAATGTATCATTTGATATGGGACAAATTCATCATTTAAATTTTAATAAATATTTAGACCATAAAACAATGCGAAAATTCCAGTTTTTGCCGGGAAGAAACATTTTCCTTTTTACCCTTATCTTTAGCATAGTTTGTTCATAGAACCGTAAGACCCTGAACAGTATTTTCAAATCGGTTTCTCTAATTTAATATATAAAAAGGTAATTTCCATCTCTACCCGAATTTTTACTCACATGCACTGGATGCAGTGTATCCACGTACTGGAATGTTTTCTGCAAGAACTGTGAGCGCCATTCAAAATTCTCCGGAGTTGCAGCAACAAAATAGCTAAGACATGCACATACAAACATTGACGTTACCTCGTCCAGGTTGAGTTCTTCCTTTCGCAAAAACGCAATAAATTGCTTGCAAATCTAGAATATTGGAAAACATTTCCGTTGGAAATTGCTTTAACAAGATGAAACATGTTTACCTCTTGTATTTCATCGGTTTCCTCTATGAATTGACATTTCTCAGTCAAGCAAGAAGACTTAACGAATTCCTTGAGAGTCGCTAGGGAATATCCCGGTTCGATTATTAAGTGCATGCCATCATCTTTGGATTTAAATTCTTCGGGATTAGGAGCAGCCAGAGGAGCTGGCGCCTCTTCCACAACGTCTTCCATAATTTTTTTGTTTACTACAGGGATCTTTCAATCGAAAATTGACAAAATTTCCCGGTTAATTAGATGAGGGGGTATGTAGACTCAAATTTGACAAAACTTGAGGCTGCCAAAAGGTAATAGGGATCTACAAGTGCAATAGCGTTGAAGAAGCTATAATAAAATAGTTTCCAATATACGCCGTCGAAATAGTTGGAATACACACGTTTTCTTATTGTAGCTTTAAATAATATAAGTTGTGTTCCAGAACCTGCAAATTAGTACTAATTAGCACTAATTCTGCTACAACGCGTTTCCGTACTCCAAAAACTAGCAAAACTTGCAGCTCTCTCGAGAAAAAATGGCGCTGAGTGCTGCACTTTTCTGCTTGTTTTAGCTACATGAATTTGGCCGAGCAGAAATGTGCATTTTGTAAATTTGACATTTAATTGGCAGGGCTAACAAGGTTGAAAAATGTATTGATACATTTCAATAAAGAAAATGATCAACTTGAAAACTAAAGGAAAAACTAATATTTGTCGTGCAAAAAACAAAAAGAGAAAATATAGAGCAACTGATGTATTCACTTTTGGATGATTCCAGCAGTGAAGAGGACTGGCTGAATGAGGAATCGATTATTAATTATTATTATAAATTATTAATTTTAACTTATCGTCTTCAATATTCATTTTTTAAATGTTGGCGCTCTTTTCAGTAAGGTTTCACCAGTCCGATTTAGGCTGTTTACTTTTGGAATTTTGAATTTTGACATTTTATCGCATTTCTGCTAATTTTCCGTTCCCTTATTTTTTGAGCAAACCTAAATGAGAATGACATTTCGAACTGTTCTCTCTTCTGCTAGTTTTACTATTAAAAAAGTACTGGAACACAACTATATATTTATTGAATAATATAAATAATAATTTTGAAAATGTTGATTTTCTGTTCAATTTAAATTTACTTTTAAAGCTTTTGGAATGTTTTCTGCTTTAAATGATAAAGAAACTCGGTGTTCTATTAATTAAACAAAACAAATTGTTGCATTAACAATTTAGTAAATTTGAAGTTGCAAACCTCCAGCTTCAGAATTATGTTTTACAAATGTAGCAACTTCGTAAAACTACAGAAATACAGCCCTGAGGTTATGCTTACTTTCTATCAAATTTAGATACCACAAGTTCTTTTAATTTATTCGACATTTTTCCTCATTTTTAAAACGAGTGGCGCGAAATGAATTATATGTCTGGATTTTCTTCTAAGAGTATGATCGAAACTGTTCAATCTTTGCATTCCATGGCAAAAATGGTTATTTCCTTTGATGCGGGCCCTGAAATATAAGCCTTAAAGACTGACTTAAAAATAAATCTGCTTAAGATAAGGGGTTTAAAACCCCTATTTTAATGTCATAAAGCCTAAAATAGATAAATAAATTACCCTTTACAATTCGGAAGGAACTTCGGGGCTATACGAAGACGAAGTGGTGCTGAATAAGTATTTTTTTTTTTGTCATAGGATATTGTAATGATTCCGAACTTCTAATACGAAATTCGAAATAATTCCGGTGAATAATGCCGCTAATATCATCAAAATACCGACTATGGAGAGGTACTGATATATGGGCCATATACGAAGACCTGGACTTGCATTGACAATTTTCCGTCATAGGTTTTAATACCTATTACGAACTTCAAATGCGAACTTTGACGAATTTTGAATTGAATTTGAATAATGCCGCGAAAATCTCGAGGTAGCGTTATATGGGTGCTATATTAAAACGTTGGCCTATATAGACAATTCTCTTTCAGGGGGTAAAGTACTCTGAGGTAGCTCCTCGTGTTCAGACTATTCCATTAAAAAATGTGGTTAAAATCATCAAAATACCGAATATCGGGGGAAACTTTGTATGGGGGCTATACGATATCGTGGACTTATATATAAAAAATTATCTTTCAGGGCAGAAAGTAGTCACGAAGAACTCCTAGTGTAGAATTTCGGACAATTCCATTGAAAAATGAATCATCAAAATAACTAATATCGGGGGGTACCGTCATATCTGAGCCATTCGATATCGTGGACCGATATAGACCATCTTTGGCCTTAACCTGTCTGCACACAAAATACTGATCTGTGCAAAATGTTAGCTTTCTATCTTAATTCGTTTTGACTCTAGCGTGATTACAACAGACAGGGCTAAATCGTCTTAGAATTTTTCGCTGCTCAAGAATATATAATAGTACATATATATTCTTGAGCAGCGTTGGGTCTAAAATTATTATTTCGATGAATTACAAATGGAATGACGAGCTTAATATACCCTCATACTATGCATGGTGGAGGGTACAAAAATATTATTTTATTTGAAAAATAACAATGTCAAGTTCGTTGAAAACTGTTGCCATATTTGATTTAGCAAATGAGTTATACCATGGTTTTAGCTATTTTCGTTTCTCACCATCTACTTTTTTTATATTTTTGTATAGACCATGGTCTATAGACGCATCGACACCGCTGCTGGGACAATGAACTTTCAGGCCAATTTTGAAATTGAAATTTTTGAATGAAAAATTATTCAAAGTTGTTGAATACGCATATTATATTAATCTTCCATTGACGTCGTATAAGAATACATATAGAAATCTACTATCTAAAATCTAAAATCATTTTAAAATTTCTATCATTTAAATGTTCCCAATCGTTCCTACTTCCGTTCATGGTAGAAGAATATAGGTAGACGCATCGACGCAGCTGCTGGGACAATGAACTGTCAAACCAATTTTGGAATTAAAAATGAAAAATTATTTAAATTTGTAAAAATTATTGAAAAATGCATATCTTTACAACCCACGATTTGTGTCGTATAAGAAAACATATAAAAATCTACTTATATTTGAAAAGAAATTTAAAAATTTTTGACATATCAATGCTCCCAAGCGTTGATGCATCTACCTGTATTTTTCTACCATGCTTCCGTTGCTCTCTCTCTCTCTCTCTCTCAAACAGAGAATTGCCGCAAGTAAACTTGCCTAATCTAAATGCTGCCTTACCCACAACTCATATGTTTTGTCAATAATAAACATAGTCATGTTATTAGGTAACAGCATACCCCAAAACACTGAAACAAAACAAAAATTAAAAACAGACGTCTCATTTTTAATTTCGCAAAAGTTCAATAGTTTATCAATTAATTTGGTGGACCACAAGCAAATAAACGCGATGAAATGTCATATCAGAAAGTGTGGAATGTTAAAATAATGAAATCCAATGAAGACACCATCCGTTATTGTATAATACATTGAATGCTGGAGAAGACATCAAACCTCAACGCACACACACCAATAGCATATATACAAATAAGACAAATACCTATTATCAATAATTAGACAAGTTTTATTTTGAAATAATTTTTCACTTGCTCTGTTATTTTCATACGCTTAATCTTCCAGTTGAGCTCAGAACACTTGAGGAATAATACATTTCACGAGACAGAAGTGAAGAAGTCACCGGTAAAATGCAGGCCATTGGATATAACAGAATTACCTTGCCGTTATTTAACATTGCACGATCTGGCGTCTCTGCTAAACGATCGTTCTCTTCTTTATCGTACGCTGTTAAATCCGCAACATATCCATCGAGCCATGAGAGAACTGGAATTTTAAGTGCCGACTCTGTGGGCAAACGTGAAACGTTCGTTGGCCACGCCGGTCTTGTGCGCTGTGTATCTTCAAGTTCTCCAGCTTTGTATTCATCCTCAGCCACGGTGAGTTGGAAAATTATATTGTTTATTTATCTTTGATATAATATGGCTCCTTTGTTTCTTCTGCAAAAGCGGCAGACAGTAAACACAACTGTCCAGTTGATCGACACAAAAAAGCGGGAAAGCCCCATATTTTGTGAAAGAAATTTTCCGATGCGTATTTTTTAAATAAAATCAATGTCCTACAAAGAAGAGGGACTGTGAACCTATTAGACAATGAAACACGTGCTTTTCGCATAGAGTTATACATCAAACAACTACATACATCTTTCAATGCCACGGACAGCCAAACAGACATTCATTATTAAAAAAATTTTGTTTTCGAAAGCATGTGTTGGTCTCAACTTATGTGTATTACATATAAATGTACATAGTAACTACAGACGTAAATATGTATGTCGAATATGTCGAAGAACAATTCTGACTATGGGGTTACCAAATGCGTGTGACGATTTTTAAATCATTTTTACTACTCGATTTTTGTATGACGAAAGCGAAAGGAAAACACCATTTCAAATGTGTTTTTCAAAATTTCCAAAGCATGAAAAACTCATTTGGAATTGTGTTTTTCTTTCGCATTTACTATTGTATCATTATACAGATCATAAATTTCTTTAAACGAAACGAATAGCATATAGTTGTGAATTGTTATATTTTTTGAAGATATATTTTTCATAAATGCTTTTAAAGGTTATCGGAATGAAGAGATAATAAACGTGGATGTCAAATATAAATTTTGAAGGGAATCATGAGACCTTAATCTTGGATTTTGATATCGTTTTAAAAGCTCATAATCGTAGATATTTCATATGTATATATTTTAAAAGTCATAAAGGACTCACGGCCGGGAATTTGTTGTTTATTTTAACAGTCTATTAACATGGAGTTTCTAAAGGATATAAGCGATTAATTTGTAAATTTTTTGTTTAATTTTAGAGGCACACGAAAAAAGTATAAAGGTAGATTTTTATATATTTTTTCGAGAGATATTTATTTTAAAGGACTTTAAGACCACATAATTGTTTAATAAAATTTGAAAAGACTTCACCAGCTAATAATTTTTTTGGCTTAACTCTAGTTTGGTAAAAACTCTTCGATTTTTTCGAATTTTTTTTCCAGTGGTAGGAATTTTTACGCTGATCTCGGGAAAACATTTTCATTTTGGAAAGGTAAGAGTGTCAGCTATAATTTGCCATAAATTTTGTTGACTCCTATAATGGTCATTTTTCGACTTTTTGTGAAAAAATCTATAATTTGGCTAAAACTTCCGAACCTTGACCACTTACCTGTTACCACATTTGGATAGGTATTTTAATAAGCTTTCAAACGATACCTATAAGTGGATCCGGGTCTTGAACCCGGATTTACGGATCAAAAATGGAGTGCCAGGTCCCCCAAGAAAAAATACTTTGCCGGAATCGGGGTAAAATTTTTCTCTGGAAATTTTTTCGAAAAATCGAAGAGTTTTTACTAAACTAGGGTTCCTCCTTTTTTTTTTTTAGTCGAAGACATGATGACCAAAATAAGGCTATATTTTAGTTAATTGGAATAAAGATTTTTTCAAAATCTTAATAATTTTGAATCGTCAGATTTCCCAATAATTGTATTTGGAAAACAAGTTAAATAGTATCAGTCGTATTATCCAAACGGTTTGCCCTTTTATGAGGGAGGTTCCTAAGCAGTTGGCCAATATTGACCAATTCGTATCTGACCTAGTTATGACAGATATAAGCATTGGAAACTGTGACCCTTTGTGGGTGAGGTACCAGAAGGGGTTGGTCATCTTCATAACGGATCTTGCGTTAGCAAAAATATTTGGATGTGTGAAATTTGAAGAGAGTAATAAAAATATTGTGATGTGTGTAATTTGAGGAGAACCGGATGCTTATTTCGGATTTTATGATGGTTTTAGTTATTCAAAACGTTGAGCCTTTGTGGGAGAGGTAGAATAAGGAATGGTTAGATCTCTACCATCTTTATAACAAATCTTGTGTTGATGAAAATATTGAGATATGCCAGGTCCGAGTGTAAGTGATATATTCCAATTTCCTACCAGACCTTGGGTTAATAAAAATATTGTGATGTGTGTAATTTGAGGAGAACCGGATGCTTATTTCGGATTTTATGATGGTTTTAGTTTTTCAAAACGTTGAGCCTTTGTGGGGGAGGTACCAGAAAGAATGGTCCGATCTCTACCATCTTTATAACAGTTCTTGTGTTGATGAAAATATTGAGATGTGCCAGGCCCGAATGGAATCGTATGTAAATTACGTGTTTTATGAGCTTCATGAATATTCAAAATGTTGGTCCTTTGTGGGAGTGGCACTAGAAAAAGTTGATCGATACATTCCATTTTCACACCAGACCTTGAGGTAATAATACTATTGTGATGTGTGTACTTTGAAGACAATCGGACACTTACATCGCATTTTATAAGAGTTATAATTATTCAAAATATTATATGTAATCAAATGACGTAGTATTTATTTTTTACTTATGTTCTGCACAAAGTGGGTATTTCCCTTTTTCTCTTTGAAATATATGTAAGCCGAGAATAAAGTGGTATAAAAGTGAATCCATAATACAAACAGAAACCGTTTTATCTTTGTTGATCGCGTAAAACAATATTTTTCCCATACAATTGTTTACTTATTGACACAGTAGAATTGGATTCAACGGAACAGAAACATACGAATAGATCACTACGCATCGTCCGGTAGCAAATTTTTTATGTTGGTCCTTTTGTTCAAATTTCAAAATAAAATAATACAAATAAATAAAATAATCCATCGAATTCAATGCTAGAATAACATGGAAATATATAAAGTTATATCTGTGGTCAAATTAGTATGTTCGACCGCACTGCTCCTATTCGAATGCCAATAAATACATTTTTTTTAAATTATTTAATAAACAAAAATCAAAGTTATTTTTAACTGGAAACTAAATCCTTAAATAAAAATATATAGAAAAATCTTGAAAGTTTTCTCAAAAATCATTTTCACCAGACCGCCGTGTTGTAGTTCTTCGTCTACACATTTTTTATCCCCTCCACCATAGTAAAGAGGTCATTCCGTAGTTTGTCATTCCGTTTGTAACACTTCGAAATATACATTTTAGACCCCACAAAGTATATTTATATTCTTGATCAGCATAAAATTCTATGTCGATTTAGCGATGTCCGTCTGTCTGTTTAAATCACTAGCTTCCGAACGAAATTAAGTAGAATGATAAGATTTTATTTTAATGTATGCAGGTCCACGTCTTCTTAGAGCCCCCATGTAACGGTATCTCCCGATATTCGGTATTTTGATGATATTGGCGACCTTATTCACCAGAATTGTTTCAAATTTGGCATTTGAAGTTCGTAATGAATACTACAGCCTATGACATAAAATTGTCTGTGTAGGTCTACGTCTTCTTAGAGCCCCCATATAACGGTAGCTCCCTATATTTGGTATTTTGATGATTTTAGCGACATTATTCATCGGAATTGTTTCAAAATTGGTATTTAGAGTTCGTAATGGACGCTACAGTCTAAGGTCTGTCTGTGCAGGTCTACATTTTGGTATATCCCCCATATAATAGTACCTCCCTATATTGATGCTTTTAGCTACATCATTCACCGATTTGTTTCTTCAAGATTCACATTTGAATATTGTAATGTCTTATGACAAAAGTTGCCTATGCAGGTCCACGTAGTCGTTTACACCCTAATATGACGGCCAAATTGGGTTTTTTAAGATTTTAACGGATTTTTTTTTGAAAAATGACAAATTTTTTCCAATTGGTGGAGGGTACTTACAGCTTTTTTACCACATAGTGGTAAGAATATTATAACTTTGTTTGTAACATGGAGAAGGAAGCGGGATAGACCCATAGTTACTTTTGAGGATCTTCATAGAATCACTTTCTGAGTCGATTTATGCATGTCAGTCCGTTCGTCCATCCGTCCGTCAATCTATGTATTCTTGTGAACAAAATGCAGTCCGCATTTATTATTCGAATGAGATGAAATTTCCCAAACAATATTTGTTTGGCCCAAGGACGAATCCTATTGCAATTGCTGATAATCGGATCAGATTTGAATATAACTTCCATATATATCTTCAGCCGATTTCGGGTTAATTGTGCATCAAATGTCCAATATCAGTACAAATGACCTGAATTTTGACACATCCAATCGAATTCAGCCTAGAAGCAAGTACATGAAAATTGGTGAAAATCGGTTCAGATATAGCTATAGCCCCCATATATATTTTGAACCGATTTCGAGTTAATTGTGCATCAAATGTCCAATATCAGTCTAAATGACCTGAATTTTGGTACATCCTACCGAATTCAGTCTAGAAGTAAGTACATCGAATTCGGAGAAAATCGGTTCCGTTTTAGCTATAGCTCCCATATATATGTTTCATCCGTTTTGGTGTTTCTGTTCCTCACATTCGTAATATTCATCCGACAATAATGATTTTTTTTATAAAAGATTAAAATGTGCCGTTAAATTTAGTGAAAATCGATTCAAAATTGGATATGATGCCCCCCATATATTAGTTCCCTCTGAAACCAAACTATAACTGCCCTAAAGCCAAATTTGATAGGTGGTATGATCTACTTCAAATAAATTCTTTTGTTACGGGAGCTCTACTAAATATGCATAGTGATGTAGGCTATCATAAAGTCGACCCCGCCCGACTTTTGACTTTTCCTTACTGGTTTCTTTATGTTGTGTGTTTATTAATGTTTATTAAATAAGTTGAAATTATGAAAGTTGTTGCGGGATTTAAAAAAACTGTAGAATCTAGCAAACACAATCAGAGCTTAATTTCAAATTTGTAAATGAAATATTGACTTGTTTTAAAGAATTTTCACAGTGTCTTACGTGTGAACAGCTCAATTCTTACTGGAAGTCGCCTTTTTTAATAAAATGCTGCCATATTTTCCTTTAATTGAACTAATTCTATTGCCAGAAGTCATTGAGTAATTCTTTCTGGGGAAAGTAGTCAGTCATACCTGTACCTGTACCATACCACACACACACAGTTCAGTATCAATATATATGTTTATGGTCACCTTAATTCTGTGAATATACATTGCGTAGGCTTTTAATAAGATAAATTGATATCATCTAAGAATGGGTGTAATGTATTAATGAATGTCACTAGAAGCTTGTTAATCTGGAGCATGTATTCATTTGTGTTCGTATTATGAAAAAAAGAAACTCGCGACATTGTTTGGTCGCTGGTCATTGTTATATTTAAAAAAAAAAACGATATGTTCTGCCAGTTTGAGCTTTTAAAACCTTGCACCTTGATGTAATAAAAACATTTATAAAAAAACGTAACTGGATTCAATGTTGTGCCAGAATACGATTATAGAATGCAGTTAAAGGCTTCAAATTACAGTAAAGTGGGCCGTACCGTTATAGGGGCTCAATACAAAAAAGTGAACCTACATATAAAATTTTTTGATACAGAGGTTTTTATGTATTCGAAGTTCTAAAACAATATCGCAATACCACTTTTGAAAAAAATTCTGTGAAAAATGTGGCTAAAATCTTCTAAACACCGAATATTGTGTGGTACCATAATATAGGGGCTTCACGACGATATGGATCTATTTAGGCAATTTTTTGTCATGGGAAATAAGGTACACATCTTTCGACCGAATCGATTGATGGTTTTTTATTAATTATACCCTCAACTTTGAAGAGGAGGGTATATTAACATTGTCATTCCGTTTGTAAAATCCCTAAATATTCGTCGTAGACCCCATAAGGTATATATATTCATGATCAGCATTCAATTCTAAGTCGATGTCCGTCTATCTGTCTGTCGAAATCACGATTTGACGTAGAGCTTCAAAATTTAGCAGAACAATTTGCCTTGTGCTACTAAAGATGGTATTGAAAATGAGATATTCAGTCCACGTTTTGATATAGTCGCCATATAACGGTACCTCCCAATATTTGGTATTTTGACGATTTTTGCCACGTTTTTCCACAGATTTGTCTAAAAATTGGCATTTGTAGGTCATAATGGGTTCTAGCTCAGGTTGAGAAACATTGCATATGTAGGTCCACATTTTTGTACAGCCGCCATATAACAGTACCTCCCGATATTTAGTGTTTTGATGATTTTTGCCACATTTCTACAGGGATTTGTCTGAAAATTGATGTTTGCAGGTCATAATGGGTTCTAGCTCAGGAGGCAAAACATGGTATGTATAGGTCCACGTTTTTGTATAGCCCCCATGTAACGATACTTCCCGATATTTGGTGTTTTGATGATTTTTGCCACATTTCTACAGGAATTTGTCTAAGAATTGGAATTTGTAGGTCATAATGGGTTCTAGTCCCGGCGGCGAAACATTGAATATTTTGGTCCACGCACATACAATGATACCCATCGATATTCGGTATTATGATAATCCTTATAGTCACATTTATCTACGAAATGGTTTCAAATTTGGTATGAAAAAAGATTTGGTAGATGACAATCCTTGAAGTATAAAATTCTGCATAGAGGTTCCTGTTTTGCTATGGCTCCCATATAAATAAAGATAGGACAAGACAAAGTAAAAATATGGCAACCCTGTGAAAATGCCTCTGATATTATGATATCATAAAAATATAGTTACCAATGTTAGCTGATTGAAACCGCTAAGGCAAAATGCAAATTTTTGGAAAGGTCTATGGAACAGCATTTTGAAACCACATTTTTAGATTTTTCAAACTTATTTGTCATTCGTTTCTGTAATTGCGGTTTTTATATTAACATGCCCCTGTCATGAGCTCTTACTCTATGTATTGAAGACACAAACAATTTGCTCAAAATGCTTTTTGTCTAGTCTTTACCATTTTAGGTCTTTGAGTTTGGCCCGGCCGAACTTAATATTTTTTTACTTGTTTTCTATTCCTTCTATTTCTATTTTATTTTTTCTTCTTTACTGTTACTCTATCTCGTCCTAGAGCTTCTCAGTAAAGCGGCCGGCAGCACTGCGGTGGTAGTGTTAATATATTTCAAATAATAAAACTAGCATCTGGAGTTTGTCAAATCTTGTTTTCTTCGTAATCGGATGTTATTGTCAAAATTCTTTGTTGATATTTTTGAATAATAAAATAAATTATCTGGGCTTTATGTTTTATTATTATTTTTTTATTGGCAACAAAGTATGCACATGAAATATGTGCATTCGGCTCTTATCAGACTGCACCTTGACATGTAGGTTTTATAAAAAAAATTAAAAAAATAAAAAATTAAATTAAATTTATGTACATATGTCTTCAGATACAGTGCCATACTTGCTTCTAGACACCTTATAGCTGTCCTTCACCACATTTATTTATATAATTTACAACTTATACCAGCATCAATAAACCAAAAGAATCCAGTTTTTTGTTAAGGCCTAGGATTTATTTTTATTCCGTTTTCGTTTAATTTTTGTTTGACTTATCGAAGCATCCAATTTTTTTTACCCATGGATTATTGTTGTTTCTTTTTCTATAGATAAGAAAAAGTTCATAATTGGTATGTTAAATGTTATCAGAAGCCAAACACAAATCTCCCAAAAAAATTCTCATATTTTTGGCAATGTTACCAATTGAATGTTTTCAGTCAAACACCGGCAGTCCACGGGCCCACATCATCAAAACAAAAACAAACTACCAGCAATCAATAACGTACGACGGTATGCATAAAAAAATATTAAAAAATATAAAAAAAATATTAAATATTAAATAATTATTTGAAAAACAAAAATACATAATTGCTACTAAGTCAATCTCCGCTCGTCTGGACTGATAGTTTCTATTTCCTCCATTTACGGATTATTTGAAATATTTCGCTAATATTACATGTTGCCAATTCCGTCAATGCCTTGTTATCTCCCTTATTCTGTCTCTCTCTGGACTTATCTGGATTCGGGGGGCAAAAACAAACTTGAACTATGATCCTAGATAGGGGAGCTAACTAGCCGCTAGAATGCAAAAATAAAACAACACCCAGAAAAACAAACTGCAGACTTCTCCCTGGCAAGGAGATGGATGGATGGAAATTATTGTTTTTACAAAAAAATATTACATTTCAAATCAATTGATTGTAAATCAACCAAGTTATTGTAAAACCTTGCACATGCTGCAATGCTGCATTAGTACTTGAGCCATCGTTTAGACAAGTTATACGTAGACATATAGTATTTTTTTCAACATTATCTTGAAAAAGAAAAGAAAATTACAAAACATGGCATCGAAAGTAAATTTTGCATTGAATTAAAAATAAATTTTCAATTTTTTTAAATAAATTGTTATTTTTTCTTCTACAATTTTTTTAGAAAATGTCTGGAAACTCCAAGCTATTGACCTCTTCCATCCGGGAGATTGATACCGAGTTGTTGGACTTGATCAAAAAAGAAAAGCAACGCCAATCTCAGGGCCTTGAAATGATTGCCAGTGAAAATTTCACCTCCTTGTCTGTCCTGGAATGTTTGAGCTCCTGCCTGCACAATAAATATTCTGAAGGTTTACCCGGCAAACGGTAAGTTGTAATAGTGCGTGTTTAGGTTTAATTAAAAGATGATTTTTAAAGTGAAGATAAATTGGGTAGGAAATATTATTGGAGGTCATTACAATTACCTCTACTAAAGCAATTTTCCAAAAAAACCCTTAAGTTTGGCCGGGCCGAACTTTAAATACCACCTTTGGGTAAAGAAAACATTTTTATATAAAAGTATCTGAATTCAAACGTGTTGGACATTAAACTACAAATATCAGTAAGACCGTTTGGATAATTCTGTTAAATTTTTCAAGAAACCATAAAGTGGGCGAGGCCGTTATATGGGGACCATATCTAAACGGGAACCTATATAGGCAATTTTATACTTCAAGGATTGCCATCTACCAAATCTTCTTAAATGCCACATTTGAAACAATTTCGTGGGTAAATGGACTAGGATTATGAAAATACCGAATATTGGTGGGAATCGTTGTGTGCGCTGTAGGAAAATGTGGACCTAAATTGTCAATGTTCTGCCACAGGAGCTAGAACCCATTACGAACTACAAGTACCAATTTTTGGACAAAGCCGTGGAAAAGTGTGACAAAAATAATCAAAATACCGAAGATCGGGAGGTACCGTTATATGGGGGCTATACCAAAACATGGATCTATTCATGCAATATTTCGCCACCGAGGCTAGAATCAATTATACCCTACAACACTATGTGTTGGGGGTATTATAAGTTTGATTGGGCCAAAAATTATGTAACACGAAATATTGATTTCCCACATAGGAAAGTATATATAGATCTTCCTATCTCGGCGAGCTGAGTCGATATAGCTATGTATGTCCGTCCGTCCGTCTGTCCATGTTAACTTGTAATCACTCTACAGGTCGCAATTATGGTCCGATCTTCACAAAATTTAAAATGGAGGTGGGGCTAGGGTCAGAATAGAACCCTATTTCTTTTGGTGATGATTGCATAATATTGAAATGGACCAAAAACTGAAAAAATTCCTGATATTGCACTTGCTCTACAGGTCGCAATTATAGACCAATCGACGCGGTATTTCGCATGTAACTAGAGTTTAGGGCTGGCAAGAAGCCTACCCATTTGGGTGGTCATCGGGTAATATTTAGCGGGTAAAATAGACCATATCTTTTTTGTTGAAAAAATTCAAAATTTTTCATTAAACCGCGAATATTTTAAATCCCAGCGAAATCACAAAGCCATGACAAGGTTACTTCTGATCTTTACATCGACGTTAACATCCAACAAAACGGATATATAGCAAAATATGTACGATATATATGTTTATCAAAGAAGATTTGCTTGAAAGATCTATTTTATGTCGAAAACGGCTGAACTGATTTCGACAGTTCTCATTAATTCAGAATGGCCTCTTGGCAGGAAACATAAAACGTCTAAAAAAATCGCATAAAAATATCTCTCTAAAGATGCAAATATTGATTTTGTAAAATTTTCTCATATTTTTTCCATTTTGTCATATTTTCATTTTGAATTAAACATTTGGTAATATTTCTACAGCTAACAAAACTAAGTAGTTAGGATATCAGGATATCATATACAGATCGCATTTATGGCCCGATCCTTACGAAATTTTGCATGGAGATAAGATGAGGGTCAGAATAAAAGCCTATTCTTTTTGGAGATGATCGCCATATATTTAGGGGTTGAAATGGACCAAAAAACTCCAAAATTGTCAGCAGGTCGTAATTATGGGGGTTACCGGACATTGCAAAAGCCAAGCAGTTTTGGATGGCCATCCAAAAATATTCAATGTGTGAAGGAGTTTGCCAACTTTTATAGACAAAATACGAAAATGTCCATTCCAGTGACTTTTTGGAGAATTCACAAATACAGGAAAGACGCACTTCTGACTATTTCGTTAACGCTGATTTCGTTGAAGAATATAGTCAAATGTCTGTATCTCATATAGATGCGTTTCAGTCAAAAACCAATAATAAATGTTAATCTTTTGCCACTTCTGAGAGATTATAGGTCTTTGGGAAATATTGGTTCCAGATCTAGGAAGACCATTTACGTGCAACATTTACCAATAAATTGGAAATGAGCAAATTAGTTTAAGTTGCTATCATCCGAAAATTAGAGAACGAAACCTGATGATTTTCTTTTATTATTTGTCACAATATCTTGTGGAATTCTTTCGAGTATCGTTTATTATAGTGTTGTAGGGTATTCAACGGTCGGCCCCGCTCGCCTGTAGCCTTTGCTTACTTGTTTTGACTTACAAATACCAATTTTTAGACAAATCCGTGAAAAAATGTGTCGAAAAGTCATCAAAATACCGAATGTCGGAGGGTACCGTTATATGGTGGTTATGCCAAAACCTAGACCGATATATCTCATTTTCATTACCAACTATCATAGACACAATATAAACAGTTCTTCCAAAGTTTTAAGCTCTACATCAAATAATGCGTGATTTCAACAGACAGACAAATGGACATTGTTCTGGCACCTCCCCCACAATAACCATGAAGCTCATAAAACGTGAAGATGGAATATGCCGGACCATTCCATCTGGTATCTCCCCCTCAACGGGTCAAAATTTTGAATAATAACATCTCTCATAAAAAGCGAAATAAGCATCCGATTCTACTAAAATTTTACACATTCCAATATTTCTACTAACTTAAGATCTGGAGTGAAGATGGGGTATATCGACCCACTCCTTCTGGCACCTCCACCTTTGAGTAATTATATCTTTCATAGAAACCGACATAAGTTTTTGACTCTTTTAAAATTTTGCACATTCAAATATTGTTACTAACGCAAGGTCTGGTGGGAAGATGGAATATATCGGTCCACTCATCCTGGTACCTCTCCCAAAAAGGGTCAAAATTTTAAATATCAATGAAGGTCACAAAACGAGAAATTAACATTTGATTCCATTCAAACTTGGTACATCCCAATATTTCTATCAACACAAGATCTGTTACCTCGCCCACAACGTGTCAGAATTTTGAATAATTAAATCGCTCATAAAATGCGATATAAGCATTAGATTCTCTTCATATTTCACACATCCCATTATTTCTGCTAACACAAGATCTGCTGTGAAGATGGGATATGTCGGTCAACTCCTCCTGGTACCTCCCCCACAAAGGATCAAAATTTTGAATATTCATGAAGCTCATAAAATGGGAAAATAACATCGGATTATATTCAGACTTGGCACAACTCAATATTTCTATTAACACAAGATATGTTATAAAAATTGTAGAGATCGGACCATTCCTTCTGGTACCTCCCCTACAACGGGTTAGAATTTTGAACAATTAAATCTCTCTTACAATGCGATATAAGCATTAACTAACATGCGAAACAATCGAACTTGGGATATATAAATATTTCTCTCAACCCGAGATCTAATTCCTTCTGATACCTCCGCCATAAAAGCTTGCAACATTGACTTTACCCACATTAAGCCGATTTTAATAAAACCTTTACATAGCCTCCTTATATAGACAAAATGTATTTTGGGGAGTATATTTCTTGGATAGAATTTCATGATATAAAACTGTTAAATGGGCATCTGAGCTTTTAGATGCTTTCAATGATGAGATGTAGCTTTCCCCCTTCCGCAATTCACATTCTGTTTGATGCTGCCCCTGTATAAAATGGTTCAGGCAGGACTTCTTCATTATTGTCTGAAAAATATGCCCAGTTAATCTCTTTTTATGGTTAAGGGAATTGCTGCTTTCAGAAGGTAGAGGTCTTCCCCACTCCTTTTCAATTTTAAGGCCTTTTTCTCTTTCTGAATTCCTTCGGATCATTTAATTTTAAACCTTTTGCTTTATTTTTCCAGTTACTATGGTGGCAATCAATTCATTGACAAAATCGAGTTGTTGGCACAAAAACGCGCTTTGGAAGCCTTTAATCTCAATCCCGAGGAGTGGGGCGTTAATGTACAACCCTACTCTGGATCACCGGCCAACTTCGCTGTCTACACTGGCCTTTTGCAACCCCACGATCGTATTATGGGTCTCGACTTACCCGATGGTGGCCATTTGACTCATGGTTTTATGACAGCCAATAAACGTATCTCGGCTACATCGATTTTCTTCGAATCGATGCCATACAAAGTAAATGCCTCCACCGGTTTGGTTGATTACGATGGCTTGGAAGCCAATGCTAAATTGTTTAAGCCCAAGATTATTATTGCCGGTGTTTCGTGCTATTCCCGCTGTCTCGACTATGCCCGTTTCCGTAAGGTATGCAATGACAACGATGCCTATTTGTTTGCTGATATGGCTCATGTTGCTGGTTTGGTTGCGGCCGGTTTGATTCCATCTCCCTTCGAATATGCCGATGTGGTCAGTACCACGACTCACAAGACATTGCGCGGTCCTCGTGCCGGTGTGATTTTCTTCCGCAAGGGTGTGCGTAAGGTTAAGCCCAATGGTGAAAAGGTTATGTACGATTTGGAGGATCGCATCAACAATGCTGTGTTCCCTGGTCTGCAAGGTAAGTGTGGCGGGGGGAGTGGGGGTATGGGAAAGTATAAAAGTAGATATGTGGTGGTAACGTAACATTCGTTAGGATATTTGAAAATGTGGATCTTACCATACAAATAAATATTGAATCCTAGTCCATATTCGAAACAAGTTTGGCACTCCTGCAAAATTGGGTCATATCAGGGATTCTTTGCTTTATATGAATTTAACTAATTGTAAAGAATTTTACAAAATGTTATTTTTATCAACACAAGATTACATGAGAAGATGGTAGATATCGATCCCCTCCTTGTTGTATCTCCCTCACCACGGGTCAAAATTTTGAATAATTATGACTCTCACAAAATGCGAAACATGCGATTTTCTTGAAACTTCACACATCCCAATATTTTTATTTACACAAATCTGGTTATAAGATGAGAGATATCGGCCTGCCCCTGTTACACAAAGGGTCATAATTGTCAATACTCTTGGCTGAAGATATACATATTAATATGGATATTAATATGAACTTCTGTACTTCGTAGTTTATTATCAAGGTATCATAGACGTATTCGGCCGATAACATCCATCTGCTTAAATTACACTGCGGAACAAAATTATTTTTTTTTCAATAATTACAGGAAAACTCCAGCCCCATTAAAACATAAAATAGAAAACACGTGTATCGGCACAGTAACCTCAATAGAGGGTCCAAATCCACCTATTCCATTTTATACCCTCCACCATAGTATGGAGAGTATATTATGTTTGTCATTTCGTTTGTAACACCTTGAAATATACATTTTAGACCCCACAAAGTTCTTGATCAGCATAAAATTCGATTTAACGAAGACCGTCCGTCTCTCTGTCCTTCCATCCGTCTGTGAAAATCACTCTATCTTCCGAACGAATTGAAATTGGTTGATAAAATTTTACCCAAATATGTGTTTGCTCTACAGGACTTTTGGTTTTGAAAATGGTCTATATGTGCCCATGTTTAGGTATAGCCCCCATACAATTGTACCTCCCCATATTCGGTATTTTGGTGATTTAGGCCACATTATTCACCGGAAATGTTTCAAATCTGGTATTTGAGGTTCATAATGGATACTACAGCCTATGACAGAAAATTGTCTGTGCAGGTCCACGTCTTCGTATAGCCCTCATATAACGATACCTACCAATATTCGGTATTTTCATGATTTTAGCATCATTATTCACCGGAATTATTTCATATTTCGTATTTGAATTTCTTAAAAGGTACTACAGTCTATGGCAGAAAATTGTCCGTGCAGGTCCAGGTCTTCGTATAGCCCTCATATAATGGAACCTTCCGATATTAGGTATTTTGATGATTTTAGCGACATTATTAACCGGAATTGTCGTCGTATAGACCCAAATATAACGGTTATATAATTAATAAGGGTTATATAATTTTTAACGGATTTTATTTTTTGAAAATTGTCAAATTCTTCCCAAATGGTGGAGGGTATTCACTTTTTTTTTTCTTTTTTGTTTTACTCGTTTTTTCCAAAATTTCCTGGAATCCTTGGATTTTAGGTATATAGTGTCAATATTACAGATAACAATACCAGGATTGTTTTTTATAATAATTTTTACCCTAAGGCGGGTCACGAAAGGGGTCTATATGGTCCTTTTTTTGCAAAATATGGTTAAAAACCCCTTTTAAACGGGATCGTAGCAAATCAAAATATTCTACAAAATTATTTGTCATAAAAATCTACTATAGGTCCCAGAGGATATCAAAAGTCTGAATCTTACCTAAACGCCAGGATTCAAGAAACAATTTTAGGGTTAAAACTGCAGTTCATACGAATTTATGCTAAATTCTCCTACAAAGCATTGTCTTGGAATCATGACGTTAAAGACAAAATTATTCGGCATCAAATTTCACTGTAAGTCACCAAAGAAATGAAATCTCTAGCTCCATTGGACATTAAAAAAATATTTGTGTCAATGTTGCCAAAAAACCACAAAACATTTCCTAATTTTTCAAATTGAGGGATAAAAATTACATAAAATTTCTTTTTCAGCAGAAAGTATCAAAAGAAGTAATATTCTACACAGAATTCTACTATAAGTCCTAGAATAAAATATGTATCTAGGTTCAATACTTTTAAAGAAAATTACATTCGAAAGCCAAACTTTTTTAAACCTTTTTATATAGCTTTGATTACATACAAAGGGAGTCCAATATTTTAAGATATACAGACATTTATGAAATTTACATAACCTCAGGAGCCATAGGACTATGGGCATGACAAGTGTTTATATTTAATTTTAAGCTTCGATTTTATAATAAATTTTATTTTTTTTTTTTAATATTTTTTTAGTTTATTTTTTTATTTTTATTTATTATTTTTATTTAATTTATTTTTTATTTATTTTTTTTTTTTTTTTGCAGGTGGTCCCCACAACAATGCCATTGCCGGCATTGCAACCGCATTCAAACAAGCCAAATCTCCCGAATTCAAAGAATATCAAACCCAAGTTATTGCCAACGCTCGTCGCCTGTGTGAGGGTCTGATGAAGAAGGGTTACAACATTGCCACCGGCGGTACTGATGTGCATTTAGTTTTGGTCGATTTGCGAAATGTTGGTCTGACTGGTTCTCGTGCCGAATATGTTTTGGAAGAAGTGAATATTGCCTGTAACAAAAATACTGTACCTGGTGATAAGTCTGCCATGAATCCATCTGGTATTCGTTTGGGCACACCTGCCTTGACGACCCGTGGTTTGGTTGAAACTGATATTGATGCTGTTGTGGAATACATCGATGCTGCTCTGAAGATTTGTGGTGAAGCCATGAAGGTGTCCGGCCCCAAATTGGTTGATTTCCAAAAGACCGTACATGAAAATGCCGAGATTCAAAGTAAAATCGTAGCCCTACGCTCTGAAATCGAGAAATTCAGTGAGAAATTCCCATTGCCTGGTTTTGCTGATATTTAAGTGATGTGTGTTCCGTGCCTCATGATTTTTTTTTGTTAAAAAATAAATAAAACCCTATTTTTTAGATGTAAGACATAAAATCCCAATTGACTACTAACAAACCCATGTGTTTATCCAATAAACTATGTAATAATTTTTATAGTAAAACAATTTGTGATTTTGTTTTTTTTTTTCTTCTTTTGTGTCATTTTTTATTGCTGCTCTTCAACCATCCACAAAATCCATTTTTATACACTCCTTAACCGGCTTCATGTCACGATGAAATCTTGAGTTATGCGTCGACAAAGACCATTTGGTTTTGAAACTTTTATTACAAACGGCACAATCGAATTCTTTGCCCATAATTTTTGAATGTTTCGATGCTATGTGTCGTCGTAAGGCATTCGGCGAATTTAGTTTACGTTTACAGATTTTACACAACAAATATTTTCCTAGAAGAGAAAGAGCGGAAACAATAAATTGTAGTTTTTAAAATATATCGTTTTTGTAGCAATAAAAAAATATTTTAAGAAATTAAAACAAAAAAATTAAAAAATTTAAAGACATTTAAAAAATTCATTCTGAAAAAATACCAATTTTTTAAATGCTGTTTTTATATGTAGTGTTCGTAATTGTGGTCCATGATGGACCCTATTGACATTGGTAAGCTTCAGCACTATAATTCTCGATAAATGCCGTCATTAGGATCCCTGAAACATGTTAAATAGTATCAGTCGGCTTTGCCGCCGGAGTTATACCCTCAGTCAATGTTCGATTATTAAAAAATATATTTTGACTTGCGTTATGATTATTCAAACTGTTGCCCCTTTCTGGAGAAGGTCACTAGGGAGTGGGCCAATATTGTCTATTTCAAATTTGACATAAGTCTGATATAAACATTACATCGTGCCATATTTGGACCATATCGACATATTTGGACTATATCGACTATTTTCTTCACTTTACATGAAATATGTGATAATTTTTGGAAAATGTTGGAATGTGCTAGTGGTACCAGATGTAGTGGACCGAAGTATTCCACTTCATCTAATACTGAGAAAAATATTGAAATGTGCAAAATTTAAAGAAAATCGAAAGTCTATCTCCAATTTTTAGCGAATAATTATTAATCAAAACTCTAACCTATTATGGAGGAGGTAACAAAAAAGGGTGGGTCGATGGATTTCATATTCCCATTAGTTTTCTGGTTGAGAGAAATATTTGGATGAACCAAATTTAAAAAGTATAGCTGACTTATTTTGCAAGATATGACAAATATAAGTATTGACAATTGTAAACCTTTTGTGGGGATGGTACCAGAGAGGTGGAGACGATATCAACAATATTCACACCAAATCTTGCGTTAGTAAAAATATTGGGATGTGTAAAATTTGAAGAGAATCGGATGTCTATTTCGAATTTTGTGAGAGTTTTAATTATTCAAAATTTTGACTCGTAGTGGGGGAAAGTACCAGAAGAAGTGGTCCGATATATTCCATCTTCATAGTAGATTTTGTGCCGGTAGAAATATTGAAATGTGTGAAATTTAAAAAGAATCGGATGTTATTTTCGCATTTTATAAGGGTTTTAGTTTTTCAAAAATGCGACCCTTTTATGGGGGAGGTATTAGAAGGAGAGGTACAATATATATCATCTTCACAGCAGATTTTGTGTGAGTTGAAAAATTGGAATGTGAGAAGTTTACAAAGAATCGGATGCTTTTTTCACATTTTATGAGCTCTTTGGTCCCCTTTTTGGGAATACACCAGAAGGAGTGCCCGTTCTATCCGTTCTTCGTACCAGATCTCGAGTTGTTTGAAATATTGCGTTTTGCGATAGTTGAAAAGAATCTAAACCTTATATCGCATTTTAAGAGAGATTTAATTGTTCAAAACTCTGAACAATTGTGGGGGAGGTACCAAAAGAAATGATCCGATCTCTACCATCTTCATAACAGATCTTGTGTTGATGGAAATATTGACATGTACCAAGTCTGAATGAAATCGGATGTTAATTTCGTGTTTTTTAGCTTCGTTGGTATTCAAAATGTTGACCCTTTATGAGGGAGGTTGCAGAAGGTGTATCCCGATGTATCCCATATTCAAAGCAGATCGTGTGTTAACAAAAATATTGGGATGTGTGTAAGTTGAAGAGAACCGGATGCTTATTTCGGATTTTATGATCGTTTTGTTCTTCAAAACGTTGACCCTTTGTGGGGGAGGTACCAGAAGAAATGATCCGATCTCGACCATCTTCATAACAGATCTTGTGTTGACGCATGTATTGAGATGTGTTAAGTCTGAATGGCATCGGATGTTAATGAACTTCATGGATACTTAAAATTGTGACCCTTTATGGGGCAGGTACCAGAAGCAGACCTTGTGTTAAGAAAAATATTGTGATGAGTGTAATTTGAAGACAATCGGCCACTTACATCCAACTTTATAAGAGTTATAATTATTCCAAATTTTGACCGTTTGTGAGGGAAGTACTGGATGGTTACGATGTACCAAATTTGTATCAAATTGTATATTCCATTCGATAGAGTTATCGTGCGAAAGAACAGACGGACATCGCTAGATCGACTCCAAATGTCCTGAAACGTATTTGGCCCAAAGAGACCTAATGTCTTAAACCGTTATTTCGCACATTTTGGCCCTATCAAATGATATATACCCTCTCTAGCCATATGGTTTAGGGTATAAAAATTCGAGTCAAAAATTCAGACTCGGACAAAGAGATTCATTTTTGTATTTGTTGTTGGATGATTTTGTGCTTAAAATGAGATGCCCTCAACTGGACTGACGAAACCCAAAATGACCACTTCCTAGCACCGCTGTCTTCACTGGAATTTTTTGTCTAATTTCGGGCATATTACCAGGAAGAATAAAGGCGATGATGTTGCGGAAAATGACTTCTGCTAATCAAACTTCGAAGGGTTGGACAGTTCATAAAGAAAAGTTCAACATCATTTGTTTGGTTATTATTTCAGGCGATCATGCTGATGGAGAGCTTCTATAATTCTGTAAAATTCTGCCAATAAAGCTTTCGTTGAGGAAAATGCCCCAAAGTTTCTTCCATACTCTGAGAAAGAGTCAGGCAATAACGCTGATGAAATTACGGGAACATAACACTTTCGCTATAGCCTCTCAATCAGGATCAACCGAAAGAATTTGTGAAAAGTAATGCATTAATTATATCACACAGATTTGTGGTGAACCACGCTCCTGAATTACAAGGGATCTTTAAAACCTTTCTTTTTTTGTCCCCTTAAAGGTAGCGTCATAAAAAAAACAATTATCAGATCAACTTTATGTTATTGGTTTCTTAGAATTTTTTTTTATTTTTTTTTTAGTTTTTTAATTATTTTTCTCACTTGAACATTCACAAGAAAATACTAAACATAGAATTTCATGTTCTAAAGGGTGGTACGTAATACGATTTGTATTGAGAATGTGGTGTGAACTGAATACCAGAAAAGGTGATGGAGGTGGTGTTCTAAATGTACAATAATATTGCATGGATTCTATATTTACAGTAACTACAAAAATGTAAAATTAACAATTCATATTTGTTATTTATTTCCTTTTTTGTTCACTATTTCAAATATTGAAATTAAATAAATAACAAACCTAATAGAAAATCAAAAGATCTAACACAATTTGCAATCAATTCTGAATGGGTGGGACTTTTATTGAATTCAAAAACATTTTAAATTGCAGCGGTTTTTTTTTTATTTTATACTCTTCTATTGTTGCAATAGTGATTATTCCTTAATTGTTTCCAAAGGGAAAAGGTTGTTGAAATCTATTACTATTTGTTAAATTACATATCAACTATGAAAATAAATTTATATTATGTGATACTTATTTATTATATAGTTCCCTAATACATATATCATTATATTATATATACACAATATGTACTTTAGTTTACTTTATAGACTAAAATTCATTAAATTTATAAACAATCTTATGTGGATAGATGCTAAATGCCATAATGGCATTTGGGTTTGCACATTTTCATGGCATACTTTTAGGGATAAAGGAAATAAAATATTAACATGTGATGGCAATGCTGTTTGTTTGCTGTAGCTCAACTACAACGCTTAGTTTAATAGGTAGGTAGGTGGTGATGTATTATTTTAAATAATGTGAACTCAATGATGATGAGGGGGTGTAAAGTGTAAAATAGTATTAATGTAACTTGATGATGATGATGACGTTGTTTTCGACTAGCTTCTTAATATGAAATATTTACATTCTTTAACTATTGATCAGTTTTCCGGTTTTAGGCCCAATTTTTGTTCGTGTGAAATTCGTATGTGCTCTCGAAGACTGTATTTATTTTTGAAATTCTTATTGCATAGCTCACATTTACGCGGCGGTTGCGGTGTGTGCTGAGTACGAATATGTCTCCAAAGATTAACTGTTGTTATAACCATTTTGCAAAATTGACATTCTGTCCATTTATTATTGGGTAAATCTAAAAATATACAGAATAAGAATAAAAAAACAAATGAAGAACGCAATCCAATTAACATGAACAACAACAACAACATGGATGTGAATGAGGGGATGTATAACAACAACAAGAATGGTAAACACTAATATTTTAAATGGAAATAATAATGGAAAATGTTGTACTAAATAAATTTATTGGAAACAAATTAAATCTTTAATTCAGGCAAGTTCTATAAAGGTAAGTTAGGGCAAACTATACCCAATTCTATAGTAAAATTAGAGACAGTTTTGAAAATAAAATCTGGTGGTTTGGAGGATATCCACGACATTTGAGAAGAAATTATTATAAGGTACGGCCAAGAAAGGATAATCCGATTTTTCTCCCACTTTAAGAATCCTAATCCTTATAAAATGTGATGTAAGTGTCCGGTTGTCTTCAAATTACACACATTGTTTAATTTAGAATTTCATAAAATATTGCTTTTTATTGACCCCTGGTTTGGTCCTTAATTATTCGTTAAAATGTACGCGCTACGGTTTATTGCAACCTTGTGCTAGCGCCTTTGACATTTTAACGAGTAATTATTTGTCACTTGTTTTGCCGCCTCCTTTAGACATCAAGGAGTATTTCGCTGTCAATCGGACAGACAACACCGGCAATATCGTTTGCAGCACATATCGTTGTGCATAGAAGGGCATATTGTTGCCACAGGTAATATCGTTACCACCCACCAAACTAGCAATAAATAGTTCTATATATTAAGAAAAACTATTGTGTTTTATTTCTTTTTATATCCCCCCCCTACGGTCCACTGCTCGACGCATTCGGCGTATTCACTCCCACCGGCGGAGCCCCTCTGAGCTAAACATTGGTCAATTCGAGCCAGATTTGGATCATCGCTTGCGTATGGATACTTGGATCCTCCATAAATATACAGTCCATTACTCCTGCATTACAAGGTACGTATAGTGCAGTGTTGTTTTTAAGTGAGCTCGCGTTATTAAATTACCGCGACACCAACAAAACAATCGGTTTTGTTTGGGTACAAAGGTCGTTTTACAACGTCACCTTTTTCCCTTTTGTTTTGTTTCCCGCCAATCGTCGGCTTCTAATTTGGATGCTTGTATTCTGCAGCATCAAAACAAAACTCCAAAAGAAAATTATTGCAAAAATCGTTTGCTAATATTCTTTTTGTTTTGGTTCATGTATAACAACAAAACATTAAACATCTCGTTTCGTTGATACCAACAAACACGTCGTCGTTGTTAGTTATTAGTTTGGTGTGCTTTACTACCTAAAGCAAAGACCGCAATATTATTCTTTTTGTTTGGTCTGTCCGCTGTAATATTGCAAATTGTTGTTGTTACATTTATTCTTTTCTCTTGTAACAACAGTCACATTTCAAATCGCAAACAACAACAACACTGTTTAAACCCCCACCGCTGTTTGCTTGCTGTGTAGTCGTTCTCTGATCAGCACTTGTTGTTTGTGCTTTGTTAGATCAGTGAACGAACATAACAAACGAAGGAAGAATATTTTTGTTGATTCCTCTTTCTGTCGTGTCCGTTTAGGTTGAGTAGCTACACTACGTGGGTCGGTCACTTTTGTTTGTTACATTGTTTGTTATAGGACATTGGAAAGTTTAAACTAAAATAAAATAATATAGTTAATTTTATTTTTTGTTGTTGTTTTGGAAATTTAAAAATTAATACAACCTATAGACGGTAATTCTGGCAAATTAAATAAATAAAAATAAAATAGTTATTTTATTTATTTTTGTATTTTCCCCAAATTAGTTCAGTGTTTTTTTGCGATAATTATGGCCTTCGCTCCTCTACAAAATTTCATAAGAGACTCAGACGCTCTGATAGAATTTGGTGCACAAATCGGTGCAATAAAAGGTGACGATTTAGATATTAGTATATTAGAGGAAAGGAAGAGCAAGCTAGAAAAATTATGGCAATCGGTCCATAAATCGTTACGAAACTTAGAGAATTCACAAAATGTCACTAAGGAATCTCTGCATTTGGCAGAGAGTAAATATAACGACTCCATTAACATTTATTCAAGTACAATGGCAACAATTAATAGAAAAATTATCAAATGTCGGTGCATAACAAGAAATTCAAATAAAATTGCGGATAAAAATCAAGAGCAATCGGCTCAATTATTTTTGGCTCCTGAATCGCAGGAAAATATGACCGCAAATATTTCTTCTGGTTGTGATATCGTTCACAATATGGCATTGCCCCCTATTGATATTGATATTTTTGAGGGAGATTTTTCTTCTTGGCCTTCCTTTCGGGATTTGTTTAGTGCCGTATATATAAATAATACCAGGTTGAGTGATGTCGAACGCATGTTCTATTTGCTTAATAAAACTGCTGGAGAAGCTCGGGAAATCGTTTCGCAGTTTCCTCTAACTAACCTTGGTTTCGCTTTCGCATGGAAAGCATTAAATGATGAATACAACAATATTCGATTATTGGTTCATCATCAACTAAAGTCGTTGTATAGTCTTCCAATTCTTCGAAAAGAAACTGCAGCGGGTCTTAAGGAGATCCGACGAGGAATAAATGGTTGCATTTTTTCTATGTCGATCTATAACGTTCCCACAGATCAATGGGATCCGATACTTGTCTTTCTTTGCCTGCAACGCTTGCCGGAAGAAACGACAATGCTATGGGAACAAGGTATTAAAAACAAATCGGCCCTTTCTTCGTGGAAAGATTTAGACACATTTCTTTCAGAAAGGATAAACACGCTTGTGTGTTTGGAAAGTTATCGAGAGAAATCGATTCCTTCGACTGATACAAATTCGTTTAATACCGCTACCAAGTCCAACTCTAAATGTTCGTATTCCCCTTCAATTGGAAAATCATGTTCTCTTTGTCGAGAGAAATGCCATCGACTTCAGTTTTGCTCAAAATTTAAGGAATTATTCCCCGCAAATAGATTTGCATTCGTCAAGCGCCACGAACATTGTATAAATTGTTTGGTAAAGGGACATAAACTAGTAAATTGTACTAGTAAAAATAGTTGTTCGAAATGTGGTCAACGTCATCACACGTTATTACATCGCGAGTCATTAAAACCGAATAGTTCGATTCCGGTTTTGACTCCAAAAGCTCAGGCAAGCTCGTCAAAATCGTTGTTGTCAGCTGCAGCCCCAGTTTTTCGTCCCTCAATATGTACATCCTCCACATGGGTTGGAGTCGAAAATTCAAAATCTAAATTTGTTTGTTTGAAATCGCTAGACAAAATGTCGAAGAAGAACCTGATTAAATTCATAAAAACCAATTTATCAGATGGAAATCATAAAGAGAAATTAAAATCTGTAAACAATGTTGTAAAACGACCTCCGCATGAAATCGGCCTAGCGAATATCCTTTCGGGAAAAAACGTAGCTCGACTGAAGTCCGAATCTGTAACTGCAGGTTCATCTGCGGCTTCAAAGTATTATATTTCGTGTAATAAAATAGCTTGACTGAAGTCCGAATCTGTTACTGCAGATTCATCTGCGGCTTCATGTTATCGTTGTAGCGGAGTTGGATCCCGAATCTGTTACTGCAGATTCATCTGCGTTTCCATTCCCTACATTTTGTTCGAACAAAAAGCTCACACTGCACTATGCATCCCGTACCTATTATTGGAACTAAATTAGATTAAGTTTAATTGTGTTGAAACATGCTTTGATGTTTCAAGGGGGTCGGCATGTTTAATTTAGAATTTCATAAAATATTGCTTTTTATTGACCCCTGGTTTGGTCCTTAATTATTCGTTAAAATGTACGCGCTACGGTTTATTGCAACCTTGTGCTAGCGCCTTTGACATTTTAACGAGTAATTATTTGTCACTTGTTTTGCCGCCTCCTTTAGACATCAAGTAGTATTTCGCTGTCATTCGGACAGACAACACGCGCAATATCGTTTGCAGCACATATCGTTGTGCATAGAAAGGCATATTGTTGCCACAGGTAAAATCGTTACCACTCACCAAACTAGCAATAAATAGTTCGATATATTAAGAAAAACTATTGTGTTTTATTTCTTTTTATATTTCCCCCCTACGGTCCACTGCTCGACGCATTCGGCGTTTTACTCCCATCGGCGGAGCCCCTCTGAGCTAAACACACATCACAATACTGTTATTAATCCAAGGTCTTATGTGAAGATGGAATATATCCGTCCACTCCTTCTGGTACCTCCCTCACAAAGGGGCAAAATTTTGAATATTCATGAAGCTTATAAAACACGAAATTAACATCCGATTCCATTCAGACTTGGCACATCTCAATATTTCTATCAACACAAGATCTGTTATAAAGATAGTGGAAATCGGATCATTCCTTCTGGCACCTCCCCCACATGGAGTTCAAGGGATTTAAAAAACAAATGCTCAAAGAAAGCGAAATAAGCTTCCTACTCTCTTGAAATTTCCCACATCCAAATATTTTGGCTAACGCAAGAGCTGTTGTGAAGATAATATATATCTGTCAACCCCTTCTGGTACCTCCCCCACAAAGGGTCAAAGTTTTGAATAACCAAAACGATTATAAAATAAGACATAAGCATCCGGTTCTCTTCAAATTATACACATCACAATATTTTTATTAACCCAAGGTCTGGTGTGAAGATGGAATATATCCGTCCACTCATTCTGGTAACTCCCTCAGAAAAGGGTCAAATTTTGAATATTTATGAAGCTTATAAAACACCAAATTGACATCCGAAACCATTCTGACTTGGCACGTCTCAATATTTCCATCAACATAAGATCTGTTATAAAGATGGTAGAGATTGGACCATTCCTTCTGGTACTTCCCCCACAAAGGGTCGAAGGTTTGAATAACCAAAACGATCATAAAATGGGAAATAAGCATCTGGTTCTCTTCAAACTACACACATTACAATATTTTTATTAACCCAAGGTCCGGTGGGAAAATGAGATATATCGGTCCACTCCTTCTTGTACCTCCCCCACAAAGGGTCAACATTTTTGAATAACCAAAACGATCGAGAAATCAGAAATAAGCATTCGGTTCTCTTCAAATTTCGGACATGCCATTATTTTTACCAACACAAAATCTGCTGTGAAAATGGGAGATATTGGCGAACTCTTTCTGATACTCCCCCCACATAGGGTTCAAAATTTTGAAAAACAAAACGTGAAATAAGCATCCATCTCTCTTCAAATTTCACAGCAATTACAAAGGGTCACAATTTCCAATACTTTCTATACCAATATCAGTCTTAGGTCAGATAAGAATTGGTCAATGTTGGCCAACTGGTTCGGACTCAAGGCTGGGGGTATACATCTGTCGACAAAATCGACAGATACTATTTTACTTGTTTTAATCGTGATTATCAGATAAACACATTACTACAAATCTTGTTTTTGAATAAAACCTTGTCTGAAACAATTTTCAAAATAACTTTACTTCAATATTAGCAAACAAAAAACATCTAAAAACAAGACAACATTTTAAAAATAAATTAACAGAAATAACAAACTAAAGCATAAACTGTACATAACAAATACTTTGGAGACATATTCGTTGTTAAAACACAAATGTAACATTGCTCACTACCAGCAAAAATATTCCATCGAGTATATTTTAATATAAACAATTGAATCAATAATAAAAACAACCAATGAAATAAATATAAATGTCTAACAGAACACTAAACATAAATATACAATTAATTGTAAAATATTCTCTACATACCTGCTGTTGTCGTTGTATTCCCTCCTCCTTTGTTATCAGATTTCAGCAGAACATTTGAATTGGAATTATTATCATCTAAGTGATGTTGACCGCCACCGCCTCCACCAGAATTACCCGATGATGTCGTCTGATTTAAAAGACGACCCATCTCAAGTGATATTTCTGAATTATCACCATGTTGGTATTTTTCCTCAATTTCCGATTCAGTTAAAATCTCATATTCGGAGGTGTATTGTGTTACATTTTGTCCGCCATTACCAGAATCTTGATTATTACCCGGCGTACCTTCATTGTCGGAGAGACGATCATCGACATCACCAACAATATATTCGGGAATATCCATTTTTATGGCACCTCTTAAAAGAGTCATATCCGCAGCTGGAAGGAGAGAGAGAGGAAAAATTGTAAATTATTCATGACAAAGGTAAGCTTAATAATAATTTAAAAATACTGTAAAATATAGCTATGAAGCTATGATCTTATTTTAAATACTTTTCTCAAAAATGCAGCTCTATTCGCATTTCTAACATTTTTGTTAAAAATCCACTATTAAAGCTCTGATCGTATTTGGAACATAATTCATAAAAAGCCATGATTATCGTATTTCGAACATCATCCTTGAAAATCCACGATTATCGTATATTAAATATTCCCTGAAAAATCCGTGTAAAATCCACTATTATTCTTAAAAGTAGACGATTATCGTATTTGAAATATGCCTCTGAAAAATCTGTGTAACAGCTAAGATCGCATACCGAATATTGGTCTTAAAAATATTGCATTTAATACTATATTTAATAACTGAAATCATTTTGTTAAAATAGTTCTATGTTAAGGGAGTTTCCAGTCCTCTAAACTTTAAGTTACCATAAACCGGTAATATTATATTGCATCTGATCGGTATTCCCAGAATCTCATTTTAAATAAAAATATGTCGTTCCTTCGATCACCAATTGGGTATCATATCTAGTATTTTCATTTCTAGTGTATGCTTACTCTTTACTATGGTCTGTTCATCCACCGCTTCCGTTGTATAAATATTATCATCATCATCCGAAAAAGTTATTTTTCGTTTCTTCATCGAAACTCCGGTTGTGGTTGCTGTCGAGGCGGGTAATGTTACAATATTTGTATTTAATGTTCCACCTTGTGTTGTAACTTGCACTTGCTGATTATGAGTTTGCTGCTGCTGTTGTTGTTGCTGCTGTGGAGCATGGTGAGTATGTTGTAATTGTAGGTGTTGCTGTGGGTGACCCGTTGCCGTAGTTACCTGATGATGTGTGGTCACTTGATTACCACCGGTGCTTTGTGGATTTGGATGATGGAGTTGTATATGTTGCATTTGTGTCTGAACATGATGTTGTTGATGGTGCTGGGTTGTGTTTTGTACTGTTGCCGTTTGTGTCTGCAAACTGGGTATTTGCAATTGTGTTGCTGTGGGCTGGAGCAGTGGTATATCGAGGGTTTGTGTTGCCGCACTTGCATCATTAACTGCTCGTATAGTACTGGGTATGGATTTCATTAACTTTTGATCATCTATTACTGGTGTGGGCGGTTTGGGTTTCTCTTTTTCTTCGGCCGTAAGGCCTTGGACTGCCAGCAGTTCGGCGGTTTGTAAAAATGATTGCAATGCTTCTTGTTGGACATTTACTTCGCCCTTCAGAAACAAAATAAAAACATTAATATCGTAATCAAATTCCATATATAACACCACATACCTGATACATAAACTCTATTATTGAATTGAGATCTTCATATTTGATAAACTTAAATATTATAACCGGATGAGGATGAGGATTTTCTGTGAAAATCTCCTTAAAATATGAACTACATGCCGAGAGCACCACCTTGTGTGCCTTGATTTTTCTGCCATCACAGAGCAGGCTTACATCCACAAAATCATCATTTACCCGATGATTGTCCAGGGCATAGGTTAGATGACGAAAATAGTTGTTCCATCTAAGGGAGTATTGTTGTGGAGCAGCCATAATAACAGTCCAGTGGTTTTGTTGTTGGTGTAATATGTAATTTGCTAATCCATTCAAAGAAGCAGCAGCACCCAAACAAATGTAATTACATTTCTTTTTTTGTTATTTTCGATTGCTTTTGTGCTATTTTTTCAATGCTTCGATGTATTTCCTTGCTTCATACACTCTTTAGTGAAAACTCTATTGTTTTCTTTTTATTTTATCCTATATTTTCGCCAGTAAAATAAAAATATAATTTATTTTAGACGCCACTGTTTGTTTGTGTATTCTACTGTTTTCGTTATAGGGATCAAGAGATACGATCTAAACCATAACAGGGATCAATAGATTGAAAAACGTAGATCATAGGGCTCTAGAGACAGAAAAATGAATATTAATAGTGTTCTTTAAATCAACATAAACAACTGATAAGTTTTTATATAATTACTAAAGGTGAGGAGACATAAACCGCTTTTTTGACTGACTTAAGTCATCGGCTGGCTTCTTCGGCCATCAGTCAAAAAAGCATTTAATGTATTCTCGCCTTAAAATTGACTTTTGTAACTAGCTTCCTTGTTTTCCTTTCCTTCAGTTGGTTCACCGTTCATCATTGAAGTTACAGACGGTTAGGGATCTAAAGGTGGTTCTTAAACTGATTGTACTTTGTACAATTTTTTAGCTTCACCGTCACCGTATGCAGTTAAACTACTCAAATTTGTATGAAAAAAGATGAGACTGAATGCTAACGAAACAAGGCTGAAATACTATTGTGGCCCATAAATGAGACACCAAGTCTAAAATTAAAGAATTGCTCTTGGTACACTTTAAACTTTATCAATCATTCACTGCCCACCACCATTGAACCAAAAAAAAATTATAATTTATTCAAATGTATTGAAATTGGTGAAAAACGCATATCATGACAAGCTCCGAATGACGTCGTAACATAGCAAACATTTATTGGACTAACTTTTAAGTATGGTAGGACAATGAACTGTCAAACCAATTTTGGAATTGACTATTTTAAATGAAAAATTATTCAAATTTATAAAAATTATTTAAAAATGCATAAAAAAACATATAAAAATCTACTTATTTTTGAAAATTCGTAAAAAATTGTCTACCATGCTTTTAAGTTATTGCATGGTAGAAAATATAGTTAGATCCGTCACCGCTTAAGAATATAGATATGTCAAAAAATTTTAAACGTCTTTTCAAATATAAATAGATTTTTGTATGTTTTCTTATACGACGTCATCTGGAGGTTATTATAATACGCGTTTTTAAGAAATTTTTTACAAATTTAAATAAGTGTTCATTCAATATTTTTAATTCCAAAATTGGTTTGACAGTTCATTGTCCCAGCAGCTGTGTTGATGCGTCTTCAACCATGAGTTATTGTATTGTGAGTACCTGTAAACATTACACAAAAATATACTCTATCTTCAGTTGCGGAAAAACATCAATCATTTCTTTTTATATGTTGTCGACCAATTTCCATGGGTTTTATTCCACAATCATTTTATAAAGTAACCTTAACAACTTTTTTATAATATAATAAAGTCCGATATATTGAATTGTATGGTGTAAAACCCAATATATTCTAACACGTACACGAGCTGCAGTCGAAGAAATGGGGCTTTCTTTGAGTAAAAACTCCTTGGCACCTTTAGAAGAATTCCACATGTATTTTGCCATATCCGCAGAACAATAGTCCATAAATGTAAACACAGAACTGAAACGAAAAAAAAACTATTGAGCAACATTCAAATATGTACTAAACAAATCAGGAAACTTACCGTTCATCATCTCCAATAAGATTTTCCAATGATTTTAATTTGTCATTGTTAAATTGCCATTCGGTGTTGCTAAAAACATTAAGAATGTGCGCGGTACTTTTGATGCGTCTCTGAAGTCTCATTAATCTAGGTTAAGGATGGAACAAGAGTAAAGAATGATGAGTGCTTCAAGCTACCACTTCAGTAAGTAAGGATTCAATTGTCGTCTCTGAATACGGAATAAACCGTGACATAGAAATGTAACATATAATCTGTTGTTCGATTCGATTTAAATGAACTTTTATATATGAATGAAGCTTGATTGAATGGAAAATTTCCGTGGAAACAATTAGATATTGAATAAAAGGTTAAGGCATTATTATATCTACCAACATTTTCATTTCATTCATACATAAATTCGCTCTGTTCCAGTACCTGCAAGAATCTACTACAAATTTTGCCATTTTCTACGAAATCATAAAGGAAAAATCGGTTATCGTAGTAAAAACTTTAACATTCTTGCAGTTGTGGAACAGAACAATTCATTTCGATCGAAATTTTGCTTCGTATTCCATACGAAAAGCATTTGGCCACTTGTTTTTAGGCAAGTTTTTTTATGATGTCTGGTTTCATTTTAGTCGGTATAGATTCATAAAGGTGAGAATTTAAAGGATGTTTTTTGCATGGCTAAGTCATTGTAAAGACACGAAGGACCGTAGGGTGATCAAATATATATTATGGGACGTCAACCTCAAACTCCTTTGTTCTTTTACGAAGCTAGTCAAAAAAGCCTTCTATGTATTATCACCTTTAGTTCTTCCCCTGTCAATCAATTTTAATTGCAGATCAACGACTGGACATCTTGGATAGGTTTCGTATAATACTTACACTGGCGGATGTCCTGACAAACGAATAAGGCAGTCCAACAAAATAGCCGGTAGCACCTGCAATCCAAAGAACTGAAACGAAAATGATTTTTTAAAAACTATATTCAAAACTAAACTCCATGTTATTCCACCCACCCGAAGGTAATGCCAAAAGACACATCTTGTTACTGAACCCTCCGGTAGCCAAATGCATTTCTCATAGGGATTTTCAAAGACAGTTGCTTTGCCCAAATTAATTATGTCAGCCATAGTTAAACGTTTTTGCGACGATGCACAACAATTGTAGACCTCTAGCTCTCCACCAAGTTTTAGAACTTTTTCGTTCTCCTTCGCATGTTTATAGCCGGTAACCAAAAGTGCTTTTGCCACCATATCCACAGGTATAAGATCTAGTTTGATATCCGGATCAGCATGATTGGTACGCATAATACCAATACCGCAGGCTACAAACATTCCAACGGGACCATTGAAATTGTCAATCCAACCGGGAAAGGGTTCCCTGAAGCTACTAACCACTGAAATGGATCGCATATTTATATACATTATCAACGACCTTGCTATGAAAATACTTGGGCTTACCAATAGAAGGACGAAATATTACCGCGGGTAATTTGTGGCTGTACTCCTCGACAATGTGTTCTGCCATATTTTTGGAAAGTGTATATGAATTGGGATGTTCTGGAGAAAATTTGGGTAATAGCATATTTAAGGTTTCCTGATCATATGTTTCGGCTATTTTTATGGCGGTACGCCAGTCTACGTAGGGTGCATACATCTAAAAGGAAAATAATGACAAATGGAAACATAAGACTTAAAAAAATCCGAATTATGATAAACTCTACCTTTTCATCGACTTCCCTTAAATTCGGATGGGAATATGTTGTCGAAACATGGACAAACGACTTCAGTTTTGGTAAATTTAGAGCAAGTTTTAATATTTCATGCGTTCCGCGGGTGTTCAAGATTATTGATGTCTTCATGTCGTCATCAAAGCGCACGGTAGCTGCTACATGAAATATTATGTTGACATTCCGTATTTTCACCATATCTAAAGAAGATATTCCCAAGCCCAATTCTTGGCAATCACCATCGATGGCTATTAGCTTTTTAAAAGCCTCCGGCTGTTCTTCTCTTGCATGTCTGAAGAGTGGAATTTGTAAAATTTCCTCCAATCGCTGGCTGGCATTTTTAGCCTTTTTGCTGCGTAATAAAATATAAACTTTCCCAACATTCGGCAGGGAGCGCAGAATCTTTTCTATCAGAACTTTGCCAATGAAACCTGTTGGAAGGGAAAATGGAAAATTAATACAATTTTATGTTTTTGTGTTATCTGTCTAGCTAGTTACCTGATCCTCCGGTAATTAAAATTTCCTTTCCAGCATAAAATTGTGCAATAGACATGTTCGAAAATTGTTATCACTTTTTGTCTCCAATTTCGATGTGAATATCGTGACATCCAAATATAAACTGCCGGAAAATGCAATGACTTCAGAACTTAAAATAAATTGAAATTTAGTGATTTGCATATTGGTGCCTTTAAAAAAAAAACATTTGCATTTCCCCTAATCGGCACGGTCTTGTATCGAATAATGTGTTAAATGTCATCAATGATAAATAAAACATAAAGTCTGCAATAGGAAAACGTAAGCAAGGTGCAGATTTTTTGAACATAGGGTAAGTGTGCCTAAGTTCGGCATGTCCCAGTAGTCGGCACTTTTTATTTTTAAGCCCAAATAATTGAAACTATTATAACTAAATGTATTTTGTTTACTTCAAATATATTGTCAGCTATCTTTGTGCACAATTTCGCTGAGAAAAGATAAATTATTCTAATAAAAATTAAATTTTTGTCTGTGATGGTCCTCAACAATTCATATTCTTAAGAAAAGTACAATAAAGACACCGATTCAGTTCAACTAAACAAAAATATTATATTTTAATGAACTAATTTATTATTATTATTAACTATGCTTACAAAAAAATTGGTGTGCCGACTGTTGGAAAATGCCATACCGACAATTAGCAAGTGGTGCCGACTACTGGGAAAAAAGCATTGTTTTAATAAAACTACAAATTTATGAAATTTAATAAAAAGTTATTAAAACTTTATTTATTATTGCAAAAACTATACAAAATTTCGAATCAGAATAAATTAACTTTATAATAATTGAACTGTTCCACTCAGAATGGTGAGCGAATAAAAACGCGAAAATCCTAAAAGTGCCGACTACCGGTACACTTACCCTATTCTCAATGAAATAAGCAAGAATCAAATCTTGGTGGGAAAAAATATTTCTTCTGACCGCCTTTTTGCAGTGAGTTAAAGGAATAGACAAGGTTAATCCCAAAAACGCATTTGCATAGAAACACCACTGCTAGTCTGTGGAAAATAATTTGAAGAAATCGAAGTAATTTCGTTCGAAATGAATTAGTGTATGCCCAATTTTGGTTAAAAAAAAGATTTTAAAGAAATAATTGCGATCTTACTTTCACAAGAGATGTATTATTTATCGTTTTTATATAACCCTGAAAAAATGCTATAAAAAATTCAATCTTAAATTTCCATCTTTAATTTGTGTATATAAAATGGATGGATAAGTGATCTCACGTTCCCCTTTCCTTATTTCAAAAGAGATAAAAAGGCTAAGCAGTTCCCGCATTCATGAAAAATGTACCTATCAAAAATGCCAGTAAAGGGAAAATAAGAGGTTTTGTTTTTAGAAAGTTCACCAGAGATATCGATGGGAGTTCAACATAAAATTGAAAGTATGGAAATTTGTTTCCAAAAAACGTGAAGGCAACATATAAATACTTTGAAATTTCAATATTTATTTATGCTTTTTTTTCAGGGCCAAAGTCACAAATAAAAAAAGTTGGAGGTACTTTTGGAGCGAGCTAAATTAAGCTGGTCCACCGTCTAAAACCGTTGCTGATTGGAAGAAAAATCTCAAAATTATTGAGGTGTGTACCGCTCAAAAACTGTATGCCTGCAGAAAGCGGCCTAGAACAGGGAAGGCCTTAATTAAGAACAACCACACGAGTGCACACGAAAAAAAAAAGGCTGTGAAGTCTGTGTCCAGTGAATGTGGCTTACTAAACCCCATCCTCTGTGAAAAAGGGGGAAAGGAAAATTATCCTTATCTAAAATGAAATTTCATTTTTAGATTCTGACAATCCTGAACAAGAGCAGATTAAATATCAACCTCCTCCCCAGTGTAAATAAACAACTATCAACATGTCTGTTAAAACAAAAAGCAGTTGTTAGGGTTTTTTATACCCTCCACCATGAAAGGGAGGGTATATTAACTTTGTCATTCCGTTTGTAAAATCCCTATATATTCGTCGTAGACCCCATAAAGTATATATGTGTATTCGTGATTAGCATAAAATTCTAAATCGATTTAACGATGACCGTCCGTCTGTCTGTTGAAATCTCGATACAGCCCACATTATTTGACGTAGAGCTTCAAAATTTAGAACAACAATTTGTGTTATGTCTAGGATGGTTGGTATTGAAAATGAGGTAAATCGGTACAATTTTTGGTATTTTGGTATAGTCGGCATATAACGGTACATCCCCATATTCGGTATTTTGATTATTTTTGCCACATTTTTCCACGGACTTGTTAAAAATTGGTATTTGTAGGTCAAAATGGGTTCTATTTTCGGTGACGAAACATTTTATATATAGGTCCACGTTTTTGTATAGCACCCATATGACGGTACCTCCCTATATTCAATATTTTGATGATTTTTGCCACATTTTTCTACGGATTTGTCCAAAAATTGGTATTTGTAGGTCATATTGGGTCCTAGCTTCAGTGGCGGAACATAGTATATATAGGTCCACGTTTTTGTATAGGTCCCGATATTCGGTATTTTGATTATTTTTGTCACATTTTTCCACAGATTTGTCCAGAAATTGGAATTTGTAAATAATAATGGGTTCTAGCAAAACAGTGTAGGCATAGATCCACGTTTTTGTACAGCAGTGCCTCCCGATATTCGGTATTTTGATGATTTTTCCCACATTTTTTCTAAAAATTGGAATTTGTAGGTCAATAGGCCTGTATAGGACCACGTTTTTGTATATCCCCCATAGATCCCGATATTCGGTATTTTGACAATTTTGCCCACATTTTACACGGATTTATTTAAAAATTGGTATTTGTAGTTCTCAATGGATTCTAGCTTCGATGGCAGAACTTTGAATACTCACATCGATACTCACCGATATTCGGTATTTTTATAATCCTAGTCAAGAAGATTTGGTGGTTGCCAACCCATGAAGTTTAAAATTGTCTACAGAGGTTCCCGTTTTAGTATGGCCCCCATATAACGGCTTCACCCACCTTATGGTTTTTTGGTTCAATACTTAAAGTATAAACTTGTCTATAAAGGTTCCCGTTTTAGTATGGCCCCCATATAACGACCTCACCCACTTCATGGTCTTTTGAAAAGTTTGACAGCATTATTCAAACGTCTTACTGTTGTTTGTAGTATAAAATGGAACACGTTTGAATTCAAATACTTTTATATAAAAATATTTTCTTTACTCAAAGGTGGAGGGTATTAAAATTTTCGGCCCGGCCGAACTTTATTATTTTTTTAACTGTTTGATATAAAATTTCACTGCTGGACAATGTGAACTCTGTTATGAAATTGAAAATGATGTTGCTTTTTCACGACTTTTTACCGATTGCTCCAAGTTTTGAAATATTTAGACCTACAGTTAACAACTATACATTCAGGACATTTCCCTGGAATTAAATGAATTTAAATCTTTTGAGAATTATTCTTTTGCATTTTAAATTTAATAACCTAACAAAAAATTATATTTTTGAAATTAAAATAATTTATTTGAATTATATTAAACAAGGTCGAATAAAAAACAAACTTTATTAATAATATATTGAAAATTAATAGTTTTGCTTACTTTTTTGAACATATAACTCTGACACCTGTATTAGGTTCAAAAACAAATTAGTATGTGGTTCTTGTTACATTTATTGTACAACAATACTTGCTGGTACCCGTATTATTTAAACATGGTTTTCGACCAAATTCATTTGTTTTATTTCGCAATAATTTTATAAAGAAACCTTAACAAGTTTTTTACAATATAATATAGTCCGATGTATTGAATTGTATGGTGTAAAAACCAAAATATTTTAACACGTACACGAGCGGCACTCGAAGAAATGGGATTTTCTTTGAGTAAAAACTCTTTGGCATCCTTCACAATATCTCGCATGTATTTTTGCATATCCCCAGAACAATAGTCCATAAATGTAAACACAGAACTGAAACAAAAAAAATGATGTTGTTTTAAAAAAGCATTCATATTTGTATTAAACAAATCACGAAACTTACCGCTCATCATCTCCAATAAGATTTTCCAATGATTTCAATTTATCATTGTTGAATTGCCATTCGGTGTTGGTAAAAGCTTTAAGCACTTTTGTGGTACTTTCGATGCGTCTCTGAAGCCGCATTAATCTGGGTTATGGAAAGAGCAAGGGGAAAGATTGATGAGTGCTTCAAGCTACTACTTCAGTAAGTAAGGATTCAATTGTCGTCTCTGAATACGGAATAAGCCGTGACATACAAATGTAACCTATAATCTGTTGTTCTGTTCGATTTAAATTAATTTTTGATATATGAATGAAGCTTGATTGAATGGAAAATTTTCGTGGAAACAGATATCGAATAAAAAGCTAAGGCTGCTACTACATCTACCAACATTTTTATTTCATTCATACACAAATTAATTTCAATCAAAATTTCGATATGGAATGCGAAAAGAATTTGGCCACGTCTTTTTGGGCAATTTTTTTTTTAATGTCTAGTCCCATTTAAGTCTGTATATATTCATAAAGGTGAGAATACATAAGACGCTTTTATGCATGGCTAAGACCCCGGTTTGCTTTTCTGTATAAGAACCAAGGAGCGTAGGGTCAACAAGTATATATTATGGGACGTCAATCTCAAACTCCTTTGTTTTTTTAAGAAGCCATTCAAAAAAGCCTTCTATGTATTCTCAACTTTAGTTCTTCCCTTGTCGATCAATTTTAATTGCAGATCAACGACTGGACATCTTGGAGAGGTTTTGTATAATAAGTTTCCAATCAAGTTTAAAAGTACTTACACTGGCGTATGTCCTGACAAACGTATAAGGCCGTCTAACAAAATAGCCGGTATCACTTGTAATCCAAAGAACTGAAACGAAAATGATTTTTTAAAAATTATATTCAAAACTAAACTCCATGTGATTCCACCCACCCGAAGGTAATGCCAAAAGGCACATCTTGTCATTGAACCTGCCGGTAGCCAAATGCATTTTTCATAGGGATTATCAAAGACAGTTTCTATGCCCAAATCAATTATGTCAGACATGGTCAAAGACCTTTGCGTTGATGCACAACAATTGTAGAATTCTAGCTCTCCACTAAGTTTTGGAACTTTTTCGTTCTGCTTCGCATGTTTATAGCCGGTAACCAGAAGTGCCTTTGTCACCATATCCACTGGTATAATATCTGGTTTAACATCCGGATCACCATGATTGGAATGCATCAGACCAGTACCGTAGGCCATCACCATTCCAACGGGAGCATTGAAATTCTCAATCCAACCGGGAAAGGGTTCCCTAAAGCTACTAGCCACTGAAATAGAGCGCATGTGTATGGTACATTATCCATGACTTTGCTATGGAAATACCTGGACTTACCTATAGAAGGACGAAATATTACCACGGGTAATTTGTGGCTGTACTCCTTGACAATGTGTTCTGCCATATTTTTGGAAAGTGTATATGAATTGGGATGTTCTGGAGAGGATTTGGGTAAAAGCATATTTAAGGTTTCCTGATCATATGTTTCGGCTATTTTTATGGCGGTACGCCAGTCTATGTAGGGGGCATATATCTGAAAGAGAATAAAAGACGAAAGACTTCAAAAGACTTAAAAAATCTCAATACTAGGTTCTACCCTTTCATCGACCTCCCTCAAATCCGGATGGGAATATGTAGTCGAAACATGAACAAATGCTTTGAGTTTTGGTAAATCTAGAGCAAGTTTTAAGAATTCATGCGTTCCGCGAGTATTCAAAATTATTGATGTTCTCATGTCATCATCAAAGCGCACCGTTGCTGCCACATGAAATATTATGTTGACATTCCGTATTTTCACCATGTCTAAGGACGATATTCCCAAACCCAATTCCTGGCAATCACCATCTATGGCTATTAGTTTTTTAAAAGCCTCCGGCTGTTCTTCTCTGGCACGTCTAAACAATGGAATTTGTAAAATTTCCTCCAAACGCTGGCTGGCATTTTTACCCTTTTTGCTGCGTAATAAAATATAAACTTTTCCAACATCCGGTAGGGAGCGCAAAATCTTTTCTATCAGAACTTTGCCAATGAAACCTGTTGGAGAGGAAAAATAGGAAAATCAATAATTCAATTTTATATTTTTTTCTCTGGCCAGATAGTTACCTGATCCTCCGGTTATTAAAATTTCCTGACCGGCATAAAATTGGGCAATAGACATTTTCAAAATTTGTATCTTCTTTTCTCTTGTTTCGAAGAGACCGTTTTGACATCGATTTATAAACTACCGGAAAATGCAATGACTTCAAAATTTAAAATAAATCTAGTGATTTGCATGCTGATGCGTATTTCAAAAATTTGCATCTCCTAAGTCGGCACGGTCTTGTATCGGATAATGTGTTAAATGTCATCAATGATAAATAATGCATTAAGAAATGAAGGTTGACAATAGGAAGACGGAAGCAGGTGCAGATATGTAAAGCTGTGGGTACATAAGCAGCTTGCCATTGTGGCTGTTTATGAACCCACACCTTTATATATTCTTTATAAAAAAAACAGAATCCCGTCCGTTTTATTTTTTTTTGCAATGTATTTGAAAGAATAGGTAGCCTGTGGGAAATAACAAAATGAGCTAATTCGACCATGCATGCACGTTTTCGGTTTAATCAAAAGATTTGTGGAAACAGCTGGGGTCATGGTAGGATTCAGAATTTAAATAAATATTATGTAGCGGGCAATCCCCTAGCCATCTGAGATATTCATTTTTACATTCAAGGTTCAAATTTGATTTTAAGGATATTTACTCCGATGAAAACACCGAATATCGGGAGGTACCATTATGTGGGGGCTATACGAAAAAGTGAACCTATACTTACTATGTTCCGTCACACGAGCTAGAAAACATTTTGACCTACAAATACCAATTTTTAGACAAAAAAAATCATCAAAATACCAAATATCAGGAGGTACCGTTATATTAGGGCCATACAAAAACGTTGACTTATACATACAATGTTTCGCCACCGGAGCTAGAACCTATTATGACCTACAAATACCAATTTTTGGACAAATCCGTGAAAAAATGTTGCCAAAATCATGAAGATATCAAATATCGGAAGGTATAGTTATATGGCGGCTATACCAAAACGTGGACCGATATATCTCATTTTCAATACCAATCATCCTAGACACAATACAAAGTGTTCTGCTAAATTTTGAAGCTCTCTGTATCGTGATTTCAACAGATAGGCAGGCTTACATACGGACATCGTTAAATCGACTTAGAATTTTATGCTGATCATGAATATATATACTCTATGGGGTATACGACGAATATTTAGGTATTTTACAAAAGGAATGACAAAGTTAATAAACCCTCCTTTTAAGGTGGAGGGTATAATAAGTATTTCTTTGAGCTTGAGTCTGGCTTTCTTTTATTATTTTCCTCTGATAATTAATTCTGTTTGTTGTTGATAAGTTATTAACATGGTAGAAGAATGCAGAAAGTCACATCGACGCAGCTGCAGATTTGGAATTGAAAATCTTAAATGAAAAATTATTGAAATTTGTAAAAGTTGTTGAAAAATACATATCATTACAACCGCCGATTTGAAAACATATAAAGATGTACTTATTTTTGGCAAAATACTTTAAAATTTTTGACATATTAATGTTTCCAAGCGTTGCTGCATCTACCTTTATTCTTTTACCGTGGTTATTAATATGTAACATTTCCAACGTCATTCTCTTATTGTAGTGTTTCTCTGTTTGAAGTAGTTTAATGTTCTCAAAGTTTTGTATGTCTTTATTTCTCCTGCAATGCTCAGCAAGAGCAAGAGAAATTGTAAAGGTGAGAGTACATAAAGGGAGTTTAGGTTGGCTTAGTTCGATTTTGGTCCTATGCTTCTTTGTTATTTTACGAAGAAGCCAGCCGATGACTTCATCCAGTCAAAAAAGCCTTTTATGTATTTTCACCTTAATTTAAAAAAATACAAATTAAATTATAAAAAGTAATTATAAAAAATAAAAATTTATTTTGTAGATTTTCCTAGAGATGCAATGTAATCCATTGCGAAATATCGTAAATTAATAAAGGAAAATCAGACCTCAAGCTCAAAGAAAAATGTATTTATTTCAATTTATAAAAAACAATCTATCACAACTATGAATTTTCCACGATATATATTTTTTATTGGGAGAGTCGATATGTAAACGAACATATTTTAATTCATACATAAGCAATGGAAATAAAACAAAATCAAATGTATACAATATTTATCAATACAATTTTCATGAATGAAAAAATTAGCATAATTTTGGGGAAAATTAAATACCGTTTTTCTTTTCAACATTTTTTTTTTTTGTTCTCACAAAGTCTTTGATTTCACATATCCCAATAGCAGACGCAATAAATAGCGAGCTATGTAAAATGCACCCATAAATTGAATCGTATAATGTAGAACCCGAAATATGCGCATACGTAGATGGGCACCCTTCGATGGCTCGGGTTTTTCTTTCAGTAAAAATTCTTTAGCACCTCTGGTAGCATTTAAATAATACTCTTCCATGTCACAGTCACAGTAACCAAGAAAATTAAAGGTAGATCTATAATTAAATATCCAGTAGTTTATTCGATTTGAAATAAAATTCTCATTTGTTTACCTTTCCGGTTTTTGAATAATATTTTCCAAGGCCCGGAAATTGTCATTCAAAAATGAAAATTCAGTATTTAGAAATACTTTCAATATGTCTGTGGTGGATTCCAAACGACGATGTAGTCGGAAAAATCTGAAATATGACAACAGTTTATTTATTTATATTTGTTATTATTTATATACAGCGTGAGATAAAAAAACTGTAACCAACTACAGACTGGTGTCATTTCTCAGTCCAACAGCTGTTAAAATTATTCCATTGACAGCTTATTATATTGTTTACAAGCGTTCAAAAGCATTTTGATGAGAATTTTCCAGAAAAAAAGTTATTCGTGATGGAATTAAAGCGTGATAGTGTGATTTCTTCATATTTGGCTGGAAAACCACAAGTGGCTATCGTTGGAGCACTCCAGTATTTAAATGTGAATAACTTTTTGTGTCTCGTACGATCGCTCGTTACGTGATACTGGTAGCGTAGCCCGACGTCAAGGAAGTGGACGGAAAAAAAACAGCAACATCAACAGAAATGGTTCGAAAAGTAAAGAAGCGATTTGATCGAAACCTGCGTCGCAGTGGCCAAAAAATGGCTCGTGAGCTGAACATATCGCAATATTCCATTCGGCAAATATTGAAAAATGAGCTCGGGGTAAAGCTATTGAAATTCCAAAAAGTGCAAGAACTTACACCGCAACAGAAAGAAAATAGAGCTAAAGAGTTGCTTCGCTTGGCCGAAAGTGGTGAACTGCCGAATTTTGTATTTCTCCGATGAGAAAACATTCGTTGTCGTTGTCCAGCAGTTTGTAAACAAACAAAATGATCGTGTTTACTTGCCAAAGAGGTCAGCTGAAAATGTGCACCTTCGGTTGGCCACCAGAACTCAAGCGCCGGCCATTGTGATGGTGTGGGCCGCCATAACAGCCGATGGTCGCTCTCCGCTCACGTATTAAGCGACCGTGGCATCAGAATAAATGTCGAATATTATCGCGAAAATATTTGGCCGCAGACCTTGGAACAGGACTCAGCACCATCGCACTCAGCACGCGCCACACAAGAATGGTTACAAAATGCGGTTCCTCGTTTCATTTCCAGCGCACAATGGCCACCAAAGTCTCCGGATACCTATCCGTTGGACTACTGTGCCTGGAGTATTTTGGAAAGCAAGGTTGGCACTAAAAAATGGAAAAGTGTCGATCACCTCAAGCAAGCGCTTCACTGGGAATGGGCCAAAATACCGCAGAGCAACATTCAGGCAGCATGTGAGGGTTTCTTTGGCCGTTGAAAGGCCATAATTCGTGCCAAAGGTGACCAACATGACAAATCTAAACTTATTCTACAATTCGATGCTATTTCCGGTATTTTTTGCTTTCATTCAAGAAAATTTAAATAAAATGTAAAAATTATGGCCTTTGACTTTGTTGCAGTTTTTTTTTATCTCACCCTGGCTTCTTCATAAAAGAACAAAGGAGCGCAGAGTCAAAATCGAACTAAGTCAACCTATAACTCATTTACCAAAAACCAGTCAATGACTTAAGGTGGGAATACATAAAGCGCTTATTTGGCTGGCTTAAGTCATCGGCTGGCTTCTTCGGAAATGAACAAAGGAGCCTAGGGCCAAAATCGAACTAGGTCAACCTAAAACTCCTTTGTTCATCTACGAAGAAGCCAGCCGATGACTTAAGCCAGCCAAATATGCGCTTTATGTATTTCCAGCCTAAAGGTGGGAATATATTAAAGGTGGGAATACATACAGCGCTTATCTGCCTGGCTTAAGTCATCGGCTGGCTTCTTCGGAAATTAACAAAGGAGCTTAGGGCCAAAATCGAACTAAGTCAGCGTAAAACTCCTTTGTTTCTCTATGAAGAAGTCAGCCAAATATGCGCTTTGTGTATTCCCACCCTAAAACGCTTATCTGGCCGGCTTAAGTCATCGACTGACTTATTCGAAAATAAAAAAAAGGAGGCTAGGGCCAAAATCGAACTAGGTCAACCTAAAACTCCTTTGTTCATCTACGAAGACTTAAGCTGGAAATACATAAAGCGCTTATCTGGCTGGCTTAAGTCATCGGCTGGCTTCTTCGGAAATGAACAAAGGAGCCCAGGGCCAAAATCGAACTAAGTCAACCTAAAACTCCTATGTTCATCTACGAAGAAGCCAGCCGATGACTTAAGTCAGCCAAATATGCTCTTTATGTATTTCCAGCCTTAAGCTGGAAATACATAAAGCGCTTATCTGGCTGGCTTAAGTCATCGGCTGGCTTCTTCGGAAATGAACAAAGGAGCCTAGGGCCAAAATCGATCTAAGTCAACCTAAAACTCCTTTGTTCATCTACAAAGAAACCAGCCAAATATGCGCTTTATGTATTTCCACCTTTAAACCTGTCGGAAAAGGGTTTTAAGTATTCTCACCTTAAATCTGTTTAATACATATCTTGTTGTGTAGAAAAAAAATATGCAAATACTTACAATGGCTTCTGGCCGGCCACAGCTAGCAAAGAGTCAAAGAAAATAGCCGGCAAAATTTGTGAAGTTATGAACTGAAATAAACAAAACGGAAACGTTAAATCAATGGCCACAACACAAGATTTTCAACTTCACTCCACTTACCCTATAATAATGCCATAGCCAACATGATGTCATACTACCCTCCGGCAGCCATATGCATTTTTCAAATGGTACTTTCAAAATATTCTTCTTTCCCAAATCGATAATATCGCCGGTGGTCAGATGACGTTTCGAAGAATGACAACAATTGTAGATCTCCAAGTGATTATCTGGGATTTTGGCGGTTCTGGTGCCCAACTTAAATGCAGCGACAATCAGTGCCTTGGCACACATATCCACAGCAATAATATCAGGATGTATATTCGGATTGCTGTAGGAGGTACGCATTATGCCAGTTCCGCAGGCCACTAACATGCCCATCGGTCCATTGAAGTTATCAATCCAACCGGGAATTGGTTCTTCATAGCTACTTATTACTGCATGCATGTGCATTAATGTAGAAAGGGAATGGAAAGGGCAGAATATTAATTAAACGATGGCATATTAAGCAGAGCCTTCTTTAACCCTAGACTAACAAAGTACTTGGGGTTCACAGAGCAATTTTTATATGAATGTTGTAGCACACTATAAATAGACATTGTTGGAGGTTCAGTACTAAATAAAGAACTACAAAAAGGCAACTTTGTGTTCTGGTCACATCAGATTTATTGACATTTCAGGGTCAGCGAATATTTTCCTTTTTTAAAATTTTCCGTACGAACATGCATTTATTATAATATGTGTTCTTCAATGAAAGTTCATCAGGTAATGTAAGAAGACTAACGTTATGTTTACATAAAGGTGAGAAACAAGGAAGGTTTAGGTTAATATAGTTCGATTTTGGCCCTAGGCTACTTTGTTCTTTTACGAAAAAGCCAGCCGATGATTTATGCCAGACAAAAAAGTTCTTTATGTATTCTAACCTTAATTGTTTTTTTTTGTTACAAAATCGGAAATTCTACATTTTTGACATGGAGAGTATATTAAAGGCGGGAATACATAAAGCGCTTATCTGGCTGGCTTAAGTTATCGGCTGGCTTCTTCGTAAATGGACAAAGTAGCCTAGGGCCAAAATCGAACTAAGTCAACCTAAAACTCCTTTGTTCGTCTACGAAGAAGCCAGCCGATGACTTAAGCCAGCCAAATATGCCCTTTATGTATTTCCACCCTTAGGATCATCGGCTGACTTCTTCGTTGATAAACAAAGAAGTTTTAGGTTGACTTAGTTCGATTTTGGCCCTAGGCTCATTTATTCATTTCCGAAGAAGCTAGCCGATGATTTAAGTAAGCCAGATAAGCGCTTTATGTATTCTCACCTTAAGTTTGTCATTCACGAAACCCATTGAGCTCACTTACCTATAGATGGTCTCAGTATGACTACCGGAAATTTGTCACGATGGTCGTTGATAATGTGCTCGGCTAAACTTTTTGTAAATGTATAGCTATTCGGATGATTCGGAGCGATTTTTCGACACAAAATGTTTAGAGTCTCTACATCGTACGTTTCGGCCATTTTAATCATGGTACGCCAATCGGCATAGGGAGGATAGATCTGTTGAAATAGAGGAGAATATACAGGGTGAGATAAAAAGAACAACTGCAACAAAGTAAAACGCCATAATTTTTACTTTTTTCTTAAATTTTATTGAATGAAAGCAAAAAATGTCGGAAATAGCATCAAATTTTAGAATAAGTTTAGATTTGTTCGAATTGGTCACCTTTGGCGCGATTTATGGCCTACAAACGGGCAATGGAACCGTCACACGCTGCCCGTATGTTGCTCTGAGTTATTTTGGCCCATTCCCAGCGAAGCGCTTGCTTGAGGTGATCGACACTTTGATATTTTTTAGTGCCAACCTTGTTTTCCAAAATACTCCAGACACAATAGTCCAACGGATTGGTATCCGAAGATTTTGGTGGCCATTGTGCGCTGGAAATGAAGCGAGGAACCTCATTTTGTAATCATTCTTGGGTGGCGGTGGCGTGCTGAGTGCGATGCGGCCAAAATGTTTGCCTGTCCAAGGCTTTAATACACCCTAAAGAATATTTTCGCGATAATATTTGGAATTTATTCTTTTGCTACAGTCGTTTAATACGAGCGGAGAGCGACCATCTGTTATGGCGGCCCACACCATCACCATGGCCGGCGATTGAGTTCTGGTGCAAATTTTCAGCTGACCTCTTTGGCAAGTAAACACGACCATTTTGTTTGTTTACAAACTGCTGGACAACGACAGCGAATGTTTTCTCATCGGAGAAAACCAAATTCGGCAGTTTACCACTTTCGGCCAAGCGAAGCAACTCTTTAGCTCTTTTGAGTCTATTTTCTTTCTGTTGCGGTGTAAGTTTTTGCACTTTTTGCAATTTCAATGGCTTTACCCCGAGCTCATTTTTCAATATTTACCGAATGGAATATTGCGATATGTTCTGCTCTCGAGCCACTTTTCGGATAACTTTTTTTCTGGAAAATTCTCACCAAAATGCTTTTGTACGCTTGCAAACAATATAATGAGCTGTCACTGGAATAATTTTAACAGCTGTCGTACGAGTGACTTAGAAATGACAGCAGTCTGAAGTTGGTTGCAGTTTTTTCATCGGGGTTTTTTTTAAATATTTTTTAGGAATACAAGGATGACAATAAGAATGGTTTTCTTTCAGATTTGAAGGAGAAGTCAATGTTAGGGCCGATATAATGGTGGGAATACATAAAGTGCTTATCTGGCCGGCTTAAGTCTTCGGCTGGCTTCTTCGGAAATGAACAAAGAAGTCTAGGGCCAAAATCGAACTAAGTCAACCTAAAACTCCTTTGTTCAACTACGAAAAAGCCAGCCGATGACTTAAGCCAGCCAAATATGCGCTTTATGTATTCCCGTTTATTTCAAGTTTTAAATATGGCAATGGCTTAATACCTATGGGTGCAGGTACATAAGAAGCTTGAAGTCATGGCTAGGCATATTAATGTCAAATTATAATGGACAAAGACGGCAGGATTTTAGTGCGGCTCCGTAATCCCTTTACGAAATGCCACAAAATATGCCTAGCCATGACTTCAAGCTTCTTATGTACCTGCACCCTATGTAGGTCCACGTCGTATAGACCCCAATATAACGGCTATATTCGGTATTTTTAAAATTTTAACAGATTTTTTAAGGATTTTAGTTTTTGAAAATTTTCAAATTCCTTTCAAATGGTGGAGGGTATTAAAAGGTCGGCCCGATCGAACTTAGCTGTTTTTGTTTTTACTTGCTTTTTCTTACCTTCTCTTCCAGCTCAGTAATATTCGGATGGGCATAGGTTGTTGAGACATGGACAAAAGCTTTTACATTCGTCAGTCCCTGGGCCAATTTAACCATTTCATAGGCACCGCGTGTATTTAAGAGTAAAGAAGTTTTTAAATCCTCATCGAAACGAACTGTCGCCGCAACATGAAATATTATTGAAACATTACGCAATCTCTGCATATCCTGGGCGGAAATACCCAAACCCACTTCGCAGCAATCTCCCGAAATGGCGATAAGTTTTTTTAATGCATCCGGTCGTTCTTGGTGTACACGACGAAATACGGGAATTTCGAGAAGATCCTTTAAACGTTCCTCCGCCGTTTTATTCTTTTTGGCACGTATTAAAACGTATAGTTTCGAAATAGTCGGCAAGGAGCGTAGGATTTTTTCAATCAATACTTTTCCAATGAAACCTAAGGATAGATGGATGAGTTAAGTTTGGTCTTTCTTCGATTTATTTTTTAAAAAATTCGTTTTCTTTACCTGTGCCACCCGTTACCAAAATTTCCTGATCTTTATAAAAATTTACAATGGACATTGTCGTCGTAAAATCTCGAATAAAAATTCAATCCAATATGCTTCCTTGAAATGCCTATAACCGAATGTTCAATGTTTTTTTCTTTCGAATTTAAAATGTTTTCGGGACAATTTACATAGCTTTAAAATAACAAGTTCATAGGGTGCACACACGATTTCAATGCTAATTAGCCATTTAAAGTAAACAAAAGTAAATGAATTACAAGATATTGGAATTTGCATTCGAACATTTTTGAAAAAATTGCTGCTGACGTAGCGTGAAATGAATGTTATTATTTTTCAATACACATGTAGGTCATCCAAAATTTAGGAATTGAAAACTATCAAGGTTTAGATTTTTATGCCCTCCACTAATCTGTGGAGGGTATATTAGTTCTGTCATTCCATTTGTAACTCCTCGAAATACTCATGTCAGACCCAACAAAGTACTATTTATATTCTTGATCAGCATAAAAATCTAAGTCGATTTATCGATATCCGTCTGTCTGTTGTAATCACGCTAAATTGGAAACGAATTAAGATAGAAGGCTAAAATTTTGCAAGAAATTTCCTATGCAGGTCCACGTTTTCGTATAGCCCCCCTATATCCGTTTCTCCCTTTATTCGGTATTTTGATGATTTAAGCGACAACATTTCCTGCAATTGTTTAAAATGTCGTATTTACAGTAAGTAATGGGTACTACATTCTGTGACCGAAAATTACATATGCAGGACGTATAATCGTATAACCCCCATATACCTCCCTTTATTCGGTATTTTGATGATTTTAGCGACATTATTCATCGGAATTGTTTTAAATTTTGGATTTGAAGATTTTAATAGGTACTATAGCCTGTGACAGAAAATTGCTTACGCAAGTCCACGTCTTCGTATATCCCCCATATAACCGTTCCCCCCTTTATTCGGTATTTTGACTATTTAACGACATTACTTACCCAAATTGCTCCGAATTTCGTATTTCAAGTTCGTAATTGGTACTACTGGCTATGACAGAAAATAGTCCGTGCAGGTCCACATCTTCGTATAGCCCCCATGTAACGATACCTCCCGATATTCGGTATTTTAATGATTTTAGCGGCAATATTTATCGGAATTGTTTCAAATTTCGTATTTGAAGATCTTAATGGGTACTACAGCCTATGACAAAAAATCATGTATACAGGTTCTCGTCTTCGTATAGCCGCCACGTAGCGATACATCCCGATATTCGGTATTTTGAAGATTTTAGCGTCATTATTAACCGCAATTGTCTCAAATTTCTTATTTGAAGCTCGTAAGAGGTACTATACCCTGTGACAGAAAATTGCATATGCAGGTCCACATCTTCGTATAGCCCCCATGTAACGATACCTCCCAATATTCCGTATTTTGATGATTTAAACGACATTATTTAACGGAATTGTTACAAAGTTCGTATTTGAAAATCTTACTACAGCCTACTGCAAAAAATCGTGTATACAGGTCCACGTCTTCGCATAGCCCCCATGTAACGATACCTCCCGATATTCGGTATGTTGATGATTTTAGCGGCAATATTTATCGGAATTGTTTCAAATTTCGTATTTGGAGATCTTAATGGGTACTACATCCTGTGACAAAAAATCGCGTATACAGGTCCACGTCTTCGAATAGCCCCCATATAGGGTTACCTCCCGATATTCGGTATTTTGATGATTTTAGTGACAATATTTAACGGAATTGTTTTAAATTTCGTATTTGAAGATCTTAATCGGTACTACAGCCTATGACAAAAAATCATGTATACAGGTCCACGTCTTCGTATAGCCCCCATATAGCCGCACCTCCCAATATTCGCTTTTTGATGATTTTAGCGACATTATTTATCGGAATTGTTTCAAATTTCGTATTTGAAGTTCGTAATGGATACTATGACTGAAAATTGCTTATGCCGGTCTACGTCTTCGTATACCCCTCATGTAACGATACCTCCCAATAATCGGTATTATAATGATTTTTGCGACTTTATTCACAGGAATTATTTCGAATTTCGTATTGGAATTTCCGAATTCTGTCTATAAGCAAGTACATCAAATTTGGAGAAAATCGGTAAAGGTATAGCTATAGCTCCACATATGTATGTTTCATCCGATTTGGTCTCTAAGTTCCTCACATTCGTGATATGCATTCGACAACAATGATATTTGATACCAGATATCTTATAGAGCTCGGAAATATATTGTCAAATTTTATCGTGATCGGATATAGCTCCCATATATATCCTTAATCCATGTTTAGGTCTATTGTGCAAATAAAGACTAATATCAAACCAAATGGAGTGCATTTCGGGACATACGTTTTCATTTGATGGGAACGATGTACATTTTTTTTTAATATAATCCTCCTCGAAGTGATGTCATTCACCCTATAGCAATGTTATTAGATATAAACGATAATATGACTCCGTCAAATTTTTTGAAAATCAATTCAGAATTGGATATTTTTTTCATATATAAGTTCCCTCTGAAACCAAATTTTAACTGCTCTAAATCCAAAAGCTGATATATTAAATAAATTCCCAATATAAATTATTTTATTATGGGAGCTGTACTATATATGCATAGTCGGGCCCCGCCCGACTTTTGACTTTCACTTACTGGTTATGATTTTAACAATTTTTTTCAAAGGATTTCTTTTTTTTTTAATTTCCAATTTCTTTCCAAATGGTGGAGGGTATTTAAATTTCGACCCGGCCGAACTTACTGTTTTTTACTTGTTAGTACTCAAACTGTACACTTTGTTTCGTTTGAAAAAAAATTAATCAAAACTTCATGCGTCGCATTAAATTTTCAGACTTTCAAGGCTGTATATATTCTTCAAGTTTTTCCTTTTTCGGAAAGGATAATAGGAAAATGTTTACCTTTCACACCAAAAAGTCATCAAAATCTTTCATTTTTGAGTTTACCGAGGAGGAAATTAGTTAAGCCATTGCACAAAGGACCCACATCCAATTCTTCTATCCACAACCATTTTAAACGTCTCCGTATGTAAATCCTAGAAACTAACACTGACCTCAATATCAAATTTACCTCTAACATTTAGTAGTAAACAATCTTGATCTCTCCAGCCTAGCCAAGAGTAGTAGTTCAAAATATGTACCATTAATACTTTTCAAACAATTTTAATATACATTTGCAAAACCAGCTGCAGATCTCAACCCCATATACATACTAACAGAGACCTCAATAATAAATTTCGCGATTCCTGCTCTATATATTCACTCAGTACCAAACTTGGTAACATTTAGTACTTTTCGGTTTTTTAGTACTCATTTGCAAAACCGTTCCATATCTTCATCCTAGAAACCTATAGTTATCGCTTCAGCTCTATCCCTCCACCCAATGCCAAATTTAATACCATTTGATAGGGCGTATTTAAAAACCACCGCTAAATATCACGCACGAATGTCATCAGGTATCTAAATACCAAATTTCAGAATTGTATCTTTATCCCTTCAAGCAATACTAAATATAGTAACATTCATGGTACAATAAAAAGGTATGGTAGAGCTAGCAGCTGATTACAATTTTTTCTAAGTGTGCCCGACTTATGCCAATTTTGTGTATGTATTTATTGTTTTGAAAAATAAAAACAAAATATTTTCAAAATCAATGAATGGAAGAAGTTTAAATTACAGGGCGCTCACTTACGATATTAACCAGATTTGCCACGGAATTGAAAGATTGAAAACTTAGGATCATATTTTTGAGAGAATATCCAGGCATTTCATTCATCTTTCGAGCTATTTGACTCATTTTAAAAATGAACAAAAAATATCAAATAAATGAAAACAACTTGTTGGATATAATTTTGAATTATTCTGACAGGAAGCGGACATAGCCTCAGGGCTGTATTTATGTAGTTTCACGAAGCTGTTCTACCTCCTTATTGTACCATGGTAACATTAAGAACTTTTCGTACAATTATTGTACACATTTCCACAACCATCTCCATATGTCCAGGCTACACATGAACAGCGACCCTAAAGGTGAGAATGCATAAAACGCTTTTTTGACTGGTCATCGGCTGGCTTCTTCGTATAACAAATTGACTTTGTTCGGTTTTGGATCAACACTCGTTTGTTATTTTCCGAAGAAGCCAGCCGTTGACTTAGGCCTGTCATAAAAGCGATTTATGTATTCTGTATGTATGGCTTAACCTGCCTAATAGCAAATACAACACGTGTGCAAACTTTTAGCCTTCTATCTTAATTCATTAGAAAAACGAACGGACATCCACTACAAATTTTACTCTGATTCAGAATATACAGAGTGAGATAAAAAAAACTGCAACAAAGTCAAACGCCATAATTTTTCCTTTTTTTTAAATTTAATTTTTTTTTAAATTTAGAATAAGTTTAGATTTGTTCGAATTGCTCAACGACAACAATGTTTTCTCAGCGGAGAAAACCAAATTCGGCAGTTCACCACTTTTGGCCAAGCGAAGCAACTCTCTACCTCTTTTGAATCTATTTTCTTTCTGTTGCGGTGTAAGTTCTTGCCCTTTTTGGAATTTCAATGGCTTTAACCCGAGCTCATTTTTCAATATTTGCCGAATGGAATATTGCGATACGTTCAGCTCACGAGCCATTTTTCGGACACTGTGACGCGGGTTTCGATCAAGTCGCTAAGCTTTACTTTTCGAACCATTTCTGCTGAAGTTGCTGTTTTCTTCCGTCCACTTTCTTGACTTCCTTGTCGCGAAACGCTACCAGTATTCACATTTAAATGCTGGAGTGCTCTAATGATAGCCACTTGTGGTTTTCCAGCCAAATATAAAGAAACCAGACTATCACGCTTGAATTCCATCACAAATAACATTTTTTTCTGGAAAATTCTCACCAAAATGCTTTTGTACGCTTGTAAGCAACATAATGAGCTGCTACTGGAATAATTTTAAGAGCTGTCGGACGAGTGGTTTAGGAATCAGTCTGAAGTTGGTTGCAGTTTTTTCATCTCACCCCGTATATACATTTTTGGGTCTGTCATGAGTATTTCGAGGAGTACAAACAGAATGACAAAGCTAATATAGCCTCCCTCCAATGGTGGAGTGGTTATTGTATAGGATTTTAATCATGGTACAATAAGGAGGTAGAACAGCTTCGTAAAACTAGAGAAATACAGCCCTCAGGCTATGCCCGCTTCCTGTCAGAATTACTCAAAATTATATGCAACAAATAGTTTTCATTTATTTGATATTATTTGTTTATTTTTAAAATGAGTTGAACAGCGCGAAAGATGAATAAAATGCCTGAATGTTCTCTCAAAAATATAATTCTAAGTGTCCAATCTTTCAATTCCATGGCCAATCTGGTTAATATCACTAATGCGCGCCACGCAATTTAAGATTCTTTCAATCATTGATTTTGAAAATATTTTGTTTTTATTTTTTAAAACAATAAATGCATACACAAAATTGGCAGAAGTCGGGCACACTTAGAAAAAAAATTGTAATCAGCTGGTAGATCTACCTTACCTTTTTATTGTTCCATGATTTGAATAACAACTCTTCCTAATAATGACAACTCTTCCATGAGTTCATCCAGTGTTTTCAATATTAAACTCCAAACCAAACAACCACGTTTTTACACACCGCAACAAGTTGGTATGTAGTAACTTTATTTTCAATATCGCGGATACAAAAATTAGTGTGCGCTGAAATAAGCATTCAATGTTCTAAAGATATAACGCACTATATAGTAGTACAGTGTATATTTCAAAGTGTAATGAAGAACCATAAAAATACGCAGGCGAAGACGAGCTTGGGGCGATGCAATTGGTCTCTCTTTTAGCAAAAATTGTTTGGCTCCCTTGATGCCATTGGCCAGGAAGACTTTCTTGTCAAACTCAATGTAATGCATAAAACCAAATATTTTTCTGAAAAAAATTAAAGGATTAAAAAATCCAATTAAAGAGTTAGGCTGGAAATACATCAAGAGCATATTTGGCTGGCTTAAGTCATCGGCTGGCTTCTTCGGAAATGAACAAAGGAGCCTAGGCCCAAAATCGAACTAAGTCAACCTAAAACTCCTTTGTTCATCTACGAAGAATCCAGCCTTAGGCTGCAAATACATAAAGAACATATTTGGCTGGCTTAAGTCATCGGCTGGCTTCTTCGTAGAAGAACAAAGGAGTTTTAGGTTGACTTAGTTCGATTTTGACCCTAGGCTCCTTTGTTCATTTCCGAAGAAGCCAGCCGAAGACTTAAGCCAGCCAAATAAGCGCTTTATGTATTCCCACCTTTAAAAAGTCCAATTAAATATAATTTTACACTGTGCAACAAAATTCAAATATTTTCACAAATTCAAATGCAGAATCAGAGATTATTTAATAATTCGTAATCTTTTCTTGTAATTATTTTGTGTTGCACAGTGTTTTAGTTTCTATTGTTACTTACTTTTCTCCATCATTAACCAGATCCTCCAAGGCCATTAATCTTGTGTTGATGAAATTCCATTCTGTATTAATAAATAATTCCAGGGAATTTTTTGTACAATGTATACGCCTTTGAAGTTTCATCAAGCTAAAAATATAATTCACCAAAAAATTAGACAAAAATAAAAATAAAGAAAAAATGGAACAAAGTTAGAATAGCATAATTTTTTTTTTAAAAATCATCTATAGCTAAAAAATGCTATCCCTCTCTATTTATGCAATCCGAAATGGACAACTTACAAGCTACAGTACTTACAATGGTGGGTATCTCGTAAAACGGAGTATACAGTCAAGCAAAATTGCTGGCAATATCTGTACGAAAAAGAGCTGAAATATAAAAAATTGTTTAGTTTAATAAATTGTTTACACAAATTTTAGATAATTCATTATTTCATAACCCAAACTCAAAATTGTTGCCACTCTAAAATCAAGCATTCATTTAAATAAAAATATATTGATCTCAATTTTCTGTAATTTACATTGCCTGATCTAACTGCATAGAACACAGAACCAGGATTCTTGTTCCACGAAAATATGAAATGAAAAATATTTCCTTAATGAAAATTTTCATTTGCCCACATACCTTTCTTTATGAAAGTTCTCATTTCAGAGAACCAGAATTGAGGCATATGTTCGCATATCTAGAGGTGAGAATGCATAAAATGCTTTTTTGAATGGCAAAAGTCATCGGTCGACCGAAAGAATGGGCCAATATTGTCCATTTCGTGTAGGACCGAACTAAGCATGATATAAATATTGCAACGTGCCAGGTTTGGACTATATTGGTTACTTCCTTCACTTTATATGAGATATATGATCATTTTTAGAAAATGTACACGAGGTACCAGATGCTGTGAACCGAAGTATAATTTAATAGGGATAAAAACCAAATCGAACATTTGTATCCAATTTTATGCGAAAATATAAATTCCACATTCATCTCAGATTTCTGGTTAAGAGAAATATTTAGATATAGGAAGTTGTAAAGAATCGCCGACTTGTTTCGCAAGTTATGGCAGATATAAGCATTGGAAATTGTGACATTTGTGGGTGAGGTGCCAGAATGGGTTGGCAGATATATATATATCACCTTCACAACAGATCTTGCGTTAGCAAAAATATTTGGATGTGTGAAATTTGAAAAGTGTTGGATGCGTATTTCGGATTTTATTATCGTTTTAGTTATTCAAAATGTTGACCCTTTGTGAAGGAGATACCAGAGGAAATGGTCTGATCTCTACCACCTTTATAACAGATCTTGTGTTAATAGAGATATTAAGATGTGTCAAGTCTGAATGGAATCGGATGTTAATTTCGTGTTTTATAATCTTCATGGATATTCAAAATGTTGACCCCTTGTAGGGGAGGTAACAGAAATTGTGTAATTTGAAGAGAATCAGAAGCTTATTTAGTATTTTGTGATCGTTTTTGTTATTCAAAACTTTGACCCTTTGTAGGGGAGGTACCAGAAGGAGTGGACCGTTATATTCCAATTCCACACAAGACCTTGGGTTAATAAAAATATTGAGATGTGTGTAGTTTGAAGAGAACTGGATGCTTATTTCGGATTTAATGATCGTTTGGTTATTCAAAATGTTGACCTTTTATGGGGGAGATACTAGAAGGAGTGGGCCGATATATTCCAATTTCACACGAGACCTTGGGTTGATAAAAATATTGTGATGTGTGTAATTTGAAGACAATCGGTCACATATATCACGTTTAATAAGAGTTATAATTATTCCAAATTTTGACCCTTTGTGGGGGAGGTACCAGAAGTAATAGTCCGATCTCTACCATCTTTATACCAGATCTTGTGTTGATGAAAATATTGAGAAGTGCCATATCTGAATGGAATCGGATGTTATTTTCGTGTTTTATGAGCTTCATAAATATTCAAAATGTTGACACTTTGTGGGGGAGGTACCAGAAGAAGTGGACAGATATATTCCAATTTCAATGCCCCCCATATAATGGTACCTCCCTATATTCGGTATTTTAATTATTATAGCGACATTATTCGCCGCAATTGTTATAACCATTTTACAACAACAAAGTTATAAGTTTCGTTACCTACCCTATATTCGGAGGTACTTAATGAAGTGGACCGATATTATCCATTTTCGCACCTGTCATAGCACTGATGCAAATATTAGGACTTGCGAAGTTGGAGCAAAATCAATTTTTTTTTTTTAAATTCCGACATTTTATAGGGGAGGTACCAGAAGGAGTGGACCGATATTGTCCATCTCCGAACTCGGTCTAAGTTTGGTAATAACATTACTACGTACCAACTTTTGGCCAAATCGTATACTCCCTTCGAGAGTTATATTGCGCACCAGTCAGACAGACGGACGGACGGACGGACTCGCTAGATCGACTCCAAATGTCCTGAAACGAATTTGGTCCAAAGAGACCTACGGTCTAAAACCGATTAGGCACGTTTTGCCCGTATCAAATTATATGTACCCTCCCTAACGGCAATGCCCTTACTTTCCCGATTATTGTTACGAAAAATGTTATTGAAAATATTAGGTGTTTATTTGCACAACATCGAAGCTAATTAAAAAAAACCGTTCATGCCATATGTCTCTATATGGGTACCATTACCAACTTACCCTAATATAATGCCATACATCACATCTGGTTATATCGCCATGTGGTAGCCAAATGCATTTCTCCAATGGATTCTCCAATATAACCTTTTTACCCAAATCAATCAATTCACCGGTACTGATGGCATTCATTTTCGAATTGGCACAGTGGAAAACCTCAACGTCGCCGGCAACATCCACTGTAGCGGGCTGCGTAACAACTTTATAGGCGGTCAGCAGCAATGTTCGTACACAAAAATCAACGGGTATAAAGTCGGGAATACAATCGGGATTGCCATTGTTGGTACGCATAATACCCACGCCACAAGCCACCATCATGCCAAGGGGACCATTGAAATTGTCAACCCATCCGGGAACGGGTTCTTCGATCGATGAAATGACTGGAAAGTGGGGAGGGAAATAATAAGAAACTCGGGTCAGAGAGTTGGGCTCGAAGAGGAAATATGCCAAAAAAATAAATAAATAAATAATAAAACATGTATTCTGTTCCAGTATCTGCAAGAATCTACTAGTTTTGATTTTTTTTTCGATATCACAAAGGAAAAATCGTTTTTCGTTGTAAAAACTTTTACTTTCTTGCAGTTCTGGAACAGAGCAATAAATATATGTGGTATGTTCCAGATCTACAAGAATACAGCGTGAGATGAAAAACTGCAACCAACTTCAGAATGCTGTCATTTCTAAGCCACTCGTCCGACAGATGTTAAAATTATTTCAGTGACAGCTCATTATATTGTTTACACGCGCTCAAAAGGATTTTGGTGAGAATTTTCCCGCAAAAAAAGTTATTTGTGATGGAATTCAAGCGGGATAGTGTGATTTCTTTATATTTGGCCGGAGAACCACAAGTGGCTATCGTTAGAGCACTCCAGCATTTAAATGCGAATAAATCTTTTGTGTCTCGTATCATCGCTCGTTACCGTGCTACTACTGGTAGCGTAGCCCGACGTCAAGGAAGTGGATGGAAGAAAACAGCAACATCACCAGAAATGGTTCGAAAAGTAAATAAACGACTTGAAACCGAAACCCGCGTCACAGTGGCCGAAAAATGGATCGTGAGCTGAACATATCGCAATCTTCCATTCGGCAAATATTGAAAAATGAGCTCGGACTAAAGCCATTCGAATTCCAAAAAGTGCAAGAACTTACACCGCAACAGAAAGAAAATACCGAAAGTGGTACACTGCCGAATTTGGTTTTCTCCGATGAGCCGATGAGAAAACATTAATTGTCCAGCAAAACATTAATTGTCCAAACAAAATGATCGGGGTTACTTGCCAAAGAGGTCAGCTGAAAAAGTGCACCTTTGGTTGGCCACCAGAACTCAAGCGCCGGCCATGGTTACGGTGGTGTGGGCCGCCATAACAGCCGATGGTCATCTCCGCTCGTATTAATCGACCGTGGCATCAGAATAAATGCCGAATGTTATTGCGAAAATATTCTGGAGGGTATATTAAAGCCTTGGGCACGCCAACATTTTGCCCGCAGACCTTAGACATTCCAACAGGACTCAGCAAATAGCAACACACGCCACACAAGAATCGCTTCATTTCCAGCGCACAATGGCCACCTAAATCTTCGGATACCAATCCGTTGAACTATTGTGTCTGGAGCATTTTGGAAAACAAGGTTGAGACTAAAAAATAACAAAGTGTCGATCACCTCAAGCAATCGCTTCGCCGGGAATGGGCCAAAATACCAAAGAGCAACATTCGGGCAGCGTGTGACGGTTTCATTGGCCGTTTGAAGGTCATAATTCATGTCAAAGGTGACCAATTCGAAAAAATTTGAACTTATTCTAAAATTTGATGCTATTTCCGACATTTTTTGCTTCCATTCAATAAAATTTAACAAAAAAATGTAAAAATTATGGCGTTTGACTTTGTTGCAGTTTTTTTTTATCTCACCCTGTAGAAAACATTTGACTACGATGACAGATTTTGCATTTATGATATCGATTCTTGTAGGTTCTGGAATAGGGCAATGATCTTTGGCAAAATTTAAAAATTAAAAAAAATGATTATTTTTGGTTCCAAAGGTCTTTTTCCCCTCCTTACCTATGGATGGCCGAAAAATGGCCACTGGTAATTTCGTCCGATACTCCCTGATGATTTGTTCCGCCAAACTTTTTGTAAACGTATAGGTATTCGGATGACTTTCACCATATTTGGGAAATAACAGATCCAGAGTTTCATCATCGTATGTCTCGGCCAATTTAATTGTGGTGCGCCAATCTGCATAGGGAGGATAAATCTAAAATAAACCAATTAATAATATTTTTTTTAATTTTTAAAAACTCAAACAAATAAGACTTACTTTCTCCTCCACCGTACGACGATCCGGATGGGCATACGTTGTTGATACATGTATGAATGCCCTTAACTTTGTCAAACCTTCGGCAATTTTCACCATCTCATGAGTGCCCCGAGTATTTAGGAAAACTGAATTTCTAAAATGATCATCGAATCGCACACAAGCCGCCACATGAAATATCAAATTGACATTTTGCAGTTTCTTTAGATTGTCCTGGGAGATACCCAGGCCCAAATCATTGCAATCGCCATCAATGGCGAAAATTCTCTTAAACGATTCGGGTTGTTCTTGGCGTGCCCTTTCAAAAAGCGTCGAGTTCAAAATCTCTTCGAATCGTTCCTGTGAACTTTTACCCTTTTTATTGCGTATCAGAACATACATTTTGCCAAATTTCGGCACGGATCGTAATAGTTTTTCAATCAATGCTTTGCCAATAAAACCTGCAAAGGAAATTATTTAGACATTAAGTACACTGTGAAACAAAAAATAATTATTTCAGAAAAAAATCCAGCAAATTACGGAAGTAGAGTAAGAATAGAAGACAAGTACATAGGCGTTTTGAAAGCTTACATAGCAAAGTAACCAAACCCTTGGGAATAAAAGTACCTCCAATTTCCAAATTTTTTGAAAATTTCGGCATAACGATTCCTTGGAATCCTTACACTTTAGGCATATAGTATCCTTGGCAATATTATAGATAACAGATTATGTTAGTCTAATTTTTTAAGCCTCTTATTGGTCCTTTTTTCAAAATAGAGACAAAAACTCTGCAAAATTATTTGCCACGAAATTCTACTATAGGTCCCAGAAGACATCAAAAGTCTAAATCTTACCGAAACGCCAGGAATTCATATATACAGGGTGAGATAAAAAACTGCAACAAAGTCAAACGCTATAATTTTATTTTTTTTTTTTTGAATTAAAACAAAAAATGTTGAAACAGCATCAAATTTTAGAATAAGTTTAGATTTGTTCGAATTGGTCAGCTTTGACACGAATTATGACCTTCAAACGGCCAATGAAACCGTCGCACGCTGCCCGAATTTTACTCTGCGTTATTTTGGCCCATTCCCGGAAGCGTTTGCTTGAGGTGATCGACACTTTGGTATTTTTTAGTGCCAACCTTGCTTTCCAAAAAACTCCAGACAAAGTAATCCAACGGATTGGTATCCGGAGATTTTGGTGGCCATTGTGCGCTGGAAATGGAACGAGGAACCTTATTTTGTAATCACTCTCGGGTGGCGGTGGTGTGCTGAGTGCGATGATGCTGAATCCTCTTTGGAATGTCCAAGGTCTGCGGCCAAATGCTTGCGTGCCCAAGGCTTTAATACACCCTCCAGAATATTTTCACGATAATATTCGGCATTTGTTCTGATGCCATGGTCGATTAATACGAGCGGAGAGCGACCATCGGCGGCCCACACCATCACCATGGCCGGCGCTTGAGTTCTGATGGCCAACCGAAGGTGCACATTTTCAGCTGACCTCTTGGCAAGTAAACACGACCCTTTTGTTTGTTTACAAACTGCTGGACAACGAATGTTTTCTCATCGGAGAAAACCAAATTCGGCAGTTCACCACTTTCGGCCAAGCGAAGCAACTCTTTAGCTCTTTTGAGTCTATTTTATTTCTGATGCGGTGTAAGTTCTTGCACTTTTTGGAATTTCAATGGCTTTACCCCTAGCTCATTTTTCAATATTTGCCGAATGGAATATTGCGATATGTTCAGCTCACGAGTCATTTTTAGGCCACTGCGACGCGGGTTTCGCTTCGATCAAATCGCTTCTTTACTTTTCGAACCATTTCTGCTGATTTTGCTGTTTTCTTCCGTTCACTTCCTTGACGTCGGACTACTCTACCAGTATTACGGTAACTAGCCACTGTACGAGACACAGACGATTTATTCACATTTAAATGCTGGAGTGCTCTAACGATAGCCACTTGTGGTTTTCCAGCCAAATATAAAAAAATCACACTATCACGCTTGAAAACATCACGAATAACTTTTTTTCTGGAAAATTCTCACCAAAATGCTTTTGTACGCTTGTAAAAAATATAATGAGCTGTCACTGGAATAATTTTAATATTTGTCGGACGAGTGGCATAGAAATGACAGCAGTCTGAAGTTGGTTGCAGTTTTTTCACCTCATCCTGTATATCTTTATTCATCTGTTTGTATTTATCTGTCCGTCTGTGGAAATCACTCCAGCCTCCGAACGAAATGAAGTAGGTTGATAAAATGTTAGTCATGTGTCTGCAGGACTTTCGGTCCATGTTTTAGTATAGCCCCCATATGATGTTATCTCCCGATTTTCGGTATTTTGATCATTTTAGCGACAGTATTCACCGGAATTGTTTCAAATTTCGTATTTGAAGTTCGTAATGGATACTACAGCCCGTCTTCGTATAGACCTCATATAATGGTACCTCCCAATATTCGGTATTTTGATGATTTTGGCCACATTATTCACTGGAGTTGTTTGAAATTTCATATTTAGAGTTCGTAATGGAACTGCAGTCTGTGATTTATGCAAGTCCACGTCTTCGTATAGCCCCCATATAATGGTACCTCCCTATATTCGGTATTTTGATGATTTTAGCTACATTATTCACCGAATATTTTTTTTAAGTTTCTCATTTGAAAATTGTAATGGCTTATGACAAAAGTTGCCTACGCAGGTCCACGTCGTCGTATAGAACCTTATACTACGGATACATTTGGTATTTTTTAAAAATTTAACAGAATTTTTAACTTATTTTATTTTTTTTTTTATTTATTTATTTTTTTTTAATTGCCCTTGCCATCGTTGCAGACATGATGTACATTTGAGTAAAATTTTATCAATCTACTTCGTTCGGTGACTAGAGTGATTCCCACAGATGGACAGACGGTTTGATGGACAGACGGACGGACATCGCTAAATCGACATAGAATTTTATTCTGATCAAGAGTATATACACTTTGTGGGGTCTAAAATATATATTTCGAGGTGTTACACGTCGTCGTATAGACCCTTATATAACGGCTACGAAAATTGCCAAATTCGTTCGAAATGTTGGAGGGTATTCAAAGTTCGGCCCGGCCGAAATTACAGTTTTTTTACTTGTTAGCTCTACTTCCGATATTTTTCGGTAATTATTAAAAAAATTGTGGAATTTGTGTCCACCAAGTATAAAAACGAGATCCATTCTATTGGTCCATTCGCTTTAGTAGCCGGTCCCCCAACAAAATTAAAATTTTCAAAAAAGCAAGGCTTATATGAAGCGGTGTGGCTAATCGATATAGTCCAAACTGTATCAGAGGACAGATATATTGTTCATACTCGTATCGGACGATAAAATATGGACGATAGAATATGGACGATATATTTGTCCCCTTCTCGTTCCACCACAAAAGATTTAATTTTTGAATAAAAATAAATCTCATAATCTTTGAAATTAGTACACAATTATTTCAAACTTCACATACTCCAATATTTTTTTTTCTCATATAACATATATTGTGGAGATAAGATATATCGGACCACTTATTCCATCCTATTTCCATTTTTTCATAAAAATGATCAAATCCATGAAAAAATTCATAAACACATATATACTGGGCAAAGTCCATCATTGAGGCCAAAGGTCATATACTGATGGTGCATATCTGTCTGCAAACCTACTGATTCTTTTTTTTATTTTTTGAAGAGTTGCATATTCCACGATGTTAGTAAAAATGTCACTTTTACCTGTTCCTCCAGTTATGAAAATTTCCTGATCTTTATAAAAATCGGCAATCGACATGTTGACGTAATTTTTTATTATTTTTTTTTTTAATTTATATATATTTTTTGGGAACGCTTAAAACACTTTGATTTGTCGACAAGTTAAAGGAATACTAATGGAAGCCGAACAATGTTTTTGGCGAAAGACCCAACGACACATTGGTAATTTTTGTTTAACATTTCATTGCATATTTACATAAATGAAAGTGTATTTAATTGGAAATGAATGTTTAAGTAATGGAGGGCTTTGAAGAAATGTGAATACCCTACATGTATACGATAAAAAATAATTTTTATAGAGTTTTTTAAATTTATTATATACAATTAAATCAAGGTGACCTCATTTCAAATTGTAATATTCAATTTTGAATTTTTCTGTAATTTATCTTCATTTCCATCCAAAGGATTTGCAAAAAAACATTTTGGCAATGAGATGTAAACAAATATCTAACATTAAATAACAGGGAACAAGGGAAAGATAGTAATATTTACCAGGGGGTAAGAGAATTGGTGGCTCTTTCCGAAACCATGGTATTCCCCGCCTTACCCCCTGGTAAATATTACTATCTTTCCCTTGTTACCTGTTATTCAAACAAACGTTATTTTTATAAAAAAAAAAACAACAATATTGGAATTAAAATAAAATAACTGAGTAAATCTAAAAGTACGTTTGGACTTACTAGAGTAGAGAGGATTAAAACTGTCAATTCCATTGTATACAGGGTGAGATGTAAAAACTGCAACCAACTTCAGACGGCTGTCATTTCTAAGCCACTCGTCCGACAGCTGTTAAAATTATTCCAGTGACAGCTCATTATATTGTTTAAAAGCGTACCAAAACATTTTGGTGAGAATTTTCCAGAAAAAAAGTTATTCGTGATGGAATTCAAGCGTGAAAGTGTGATTTTTTTATATTTGGCTGGAAAACCACAAGTGGCTATCGTTAGAGCACTCCAGCATTTAAATGTGGAAAAATCTTTTGTGTCTCGTACCATCGCTCGTTACTGTGATATTGGTAGCGTAGCCCGACGTCAAGAAAGTTGACGGAAGAAAACAGCAACATCAGCAGAAATGGTTAGAAAAGTAAAGCGTAGCGACTTGATCGAAACCCGCGTCGCAAGTGGCTATCGTTAGAGCACTCCAGCATTTAAATGTGGAAAAATCTTTTGTGTCTCGTACCATCGCTCGTTACTGTGATATTGGTAGCGTAGCCCGACGTCAAGAAAGTTGACGGAAGAAAACAGCAACATCAGCAGAAATGGTTAGAAAAGTAAAGCGTAGCGACTTGATCGAAACCCGCGTCGCAGTGGCCGAAAAATGGCTCGTGAGCTGAACATATCGCAATATTCCAGTCGACAAATATTGAAAAATGATCAAGAGCTCGGGGTAAAGCCATTGAAATTCCAAAAAGTGCAAGAACTTACACCGCAACAGAAAGAAAATAGACTCAAAAGAGCTAAGGAGTTGCTTCGCTTGACCGAAAGTGGTGAGCTGCCGAATTTAGTTTTCTCCGATGAGAAAACATTCTTTGTTGTTGTCCAGCAGTTTGTAAACAAACAAAATGATCGCGTTTACTTGCCAAAGAGGTCAGATGATAATGTGCACCTTCGGTTGGCCACCAGAACTCAAGCACCGGAAATGGTGATGGTGTGGGCCGCCATAACAGCCGATGGTCGCTCTCCGCTCGTATTAATCGACCGTGGCATCAGAATAAATTCCGAATGTTATCGCGAAAATATTGTGAAGGGTGTACTAAAGCCTTGGGCACACAAACATTTTGGCCGCAAACATTAGACATTTTAACAGGACTCAGCACCATCGCACTCAGCTCGCCACCGCCATCCAAGAATGGATACAAAATGAGGTTCCTCGCTTCATTGCCACCAAAATCTCCGGATACCAATCCATTGAACTATTGTATCTGGAGTATTTTGGAAAGCAAGGTTGGCACTAAAAAATACCAAAGTGTCGATCACCTCAAGCAAGCGCTTCGCCGGGAATGGTCCAAAATACCGCAGGGCAACATTCGGGCAACGTGTGACAGTTTCATTCTGCCAAAGCTAACCAATTCGAACAAATCTAAAATTCTACTCCAAAATTTTATGCTATTTCCGACTTTTTTCGCTTTCATTCAATAAAATTAAAAAAAAATGTAAAAATTATGGCGTTTGACTTTGTTGAAGTTTTTTTTATCTCACCCTGTACATGATCTATTATGAGTGTACGGCATTTTAGTGGAAAAGTAAAATTCCATACCTATTATCAATGATATAGCTCACTAATTTTATTCGACTAGAAGGCTCTCAAACATACTCAAAACAATTAAATAAATTCAGCTCATTTACCCAGTAATCGATATGCTAAAATATTGCAATCAAGAATAATTATGCTTAAATAAACACGAGTATTCGTCATCGATCAAAAAAATAAATTACAACCTACAGTGCCACGAGCTTAGATGGAAAAATTAAAAATTCGATTTTAAAGGAATATAAATTAATTGTCTAATTTAGAATTATTTGACAGTCGTGGTGAAGTAGTAATTAGCTTGTTCTTATAGTGGTTAACTCTTGGTCCTCCCTTCTGTAGATCTGTTGAGTTACATTGAAAATGTGTACAAATTTTTGCAAATTGTTATTGGAAGTCGTCTGTTAACTAAAAGTCATGCAAAAGGGAGCGTTTTAAGAGAGGAACGTATTTGTTGCCTGATTGGGGAAAGTATTGTTTTATTGGGGTACGGAAAATACATATTCAACAAGTAAAGTAATATCAGCCTTGAATTATGATTCTTCAAACTTTTGACCCTTTAAGGGGTAGGTTCCGAAGCTGTTGGACAATATTGCCCAATTCGTATCTGACCTAAGACTGCGGACCGAAATATTCAACACAATGTAATACAGAAAAAATATTGGTATGTGCAATATTTGAAGGAAATCGAACATTTATACCCTATTTCATACGAAATCATAAATCTCGACAAACTAAATATTCATATCAGATTTCTGGTAAAGAGAAATATTTAGATATAGCAAGTTAGAAAGAAATGCTTACTTGTTAAATTATGACAGATATAAGTATTGGAAATTGTGACCCTTTGTGGGTGAGGAAGCAGAAGGGGTTGGCAGATATATATCGTCACAACACACCTTGCGTTAGCAAAAATATTTGAATGTGTGAAATTTGAAGAGAGTTGGATATTTATTTTGCTTACTTTGAGAGTTGTGTTTTTTTAAATCTTTAACCCTTTGTGGTGGAGGTTCCAGAAGAAGTAGTCGGATCTCTACCATCTTTAAAATAGATCTTGCGTTGATGGAAATATTGAGATGTAACAAGTCTGAATGGAACCGGAAGTTAATTTTCCCGTTTCTTTGAAAATGTTGACATTTTGTGGGGGAAGTACCAAAAAGAGTGAACCAGTATTGACAATCTCCGAAATCGATCTAAGTTTGACAATAACATTGCGATGTACCAGGTTTGGATCAAATCGGATACTTCCTTCGAGAATTATCGTGCGCACCAGCGATCTAGCGATCGACTCCAAATGTCCTGAAACGGATTTGGTCCAAAGAGATCTAGGGTCTAAAACCGTTATTTCGATGAGGCACGTTTTGGCCGTATCAAATGATATATAACTTCTCCAGTCATATCATTTAACTCCGTGTTCAAGAAAGCAATAATTTTGATAGTATATCCAAACAGAAACAATTGTTGGATAGGGGTTGGACTCCGACTTTTGGCTCAAATATCTCAGAATCAAGGTACATATATTTAACTCTGGAAAGAATATAAAAAATAACCGAAAGTTTTTACCAATCTAGAGTTGAATCGAGAAAATTTTTTACTGAGTGTTGTAAGTTCTTGCTGTTCAAAATTCTTCTTACAGTCACTTGCAATTCCATTTCTTCTACTCCTGCCATGGTAAAATATCCTGTACCAAAGTACCATGCTTCCTCTTTTTTCGTAGTGTTTAATTTTATTATATTCGGCGACACCGACAAATCTATACTCTCCACAGCAAATTGAAATATTTGTCACGTCTGATGTCATCTGAGGATTTGCTCGGTCTCACCTTACTAGTCTCAGAGTGTAGTTTAAAGCTGTTGACTTCGGTGCGCAGCATCCAGCAACATACTTGCATTCCTAAAAAAAATGTCTATCCAGAACACTCAGGGGAGTAGTTCAGGCACTTGGCAGCTTGCTGCCTAAACACTTCAGCCGCCTTTTACAATTGCATCTAGTACTGCCATACAAATGTCCACATATTTTGGAGATATTTATATTGAAATCATAGATGAATATATATACTTCAAAATTATAAAATGTTAATAACGAAATAGCTCAAAACTGTATCAGGAAATATTTAAATACAAGCAAAATGTTTAGTTTACCCAAGTTCTCTTTTCAAAGTTGAAAAATTAACATTGCCGCCGTCATTTGTTTCGCAATAATTCACAATAGCACCCATACTATGGCCGCCGTTTGAAGTAAACTAATTCCTAACGGTTTTAGGGTTGCCAACTGATTTTCTCATGGCTTTTACTTATTTAGAGTAGGTAATTATTATTGACACTAATATCAGTTAATGGATGAGTGATGTGAGCAAAATAGGGCCGCGTCGCCAGAAACCACTGATTTTAATAGATCTAGTGGTTTAACCCTGTGTGTTTAGATACATCCTAAGGAGGATATAAATGCCACTCAACTGATGTTTGTTTACGTATACAGGGTTAGATGAAAAAACTGCAACCAAATTCAGACTGTTGTCATTTCTAAGCCAGTCGTTCGACAGCTGTTAAAATTATTTCAGTGACAGCTCATTATATTGTTTACAAGCCCACAAAAGCATTTTTGATAATTTTTCAGAAAAAAAAATGCTTTATATTCGGCTGGAAAACCACAAGTGGCTATCGTTAGAGCACTCCACCATTTAAATTTGAATTAATCTTTTGTGTTTCTATCTAAAATTTGATGCTATTTCCGACATTTTTTGCTTTCATTCAATAAAATTTAAAAAAATATGTAAAATGATGACTTATGGTATTAAAAATGGGCCATGTAGGTCCACGTTTTGGTATTTTAATGATTTTAGCGACATTATTCACCGGAATTGTTTCAAATTTGGCATTTGAAGTTCGTAATGGATACTACAGCCTAAGATAGGAGATTGTCTGTACAGCTCCACGTCTTCTCATAGCCTCCATATAACGGTATCTTTCGTATTTGAATATTGTAATGGCTTATGACACAAATGTTACCTATGCAGGTCCATGTCGTCGTATAGACCCTAACCCTTTCAGTGTCAATGAAAATTTTTGTCGAGATAAAAATCTGAAATTCCGTACTAATTTACTAAAATGTGCTCAGAAATTCTAAAACGAAACTAATAGAATAGAACTGCAATATTTTTAAATAGCGAACGTGTCTGTTATTAAAAAATATCAAAAATAACGGTTCGTAAGAAAAACAAAAAATGGCAAAGAAAAAGAGTACTTTTAAATGTCAAATATATTTGACAAAAACATTGAAAGGGCTAATATAACAGCTACATTCGTTATTTTTACGATTTTAACAGCATTTTTAACGTTTTTTTTTTGTTTTTGAGAATTGCCAAATTCGTTCCAGCTTTTTTACTTGTTTTATCTCGCCCTGTATGCCAAAAATAAAAATACATTGAATTACTTTTTAAAGTTCTGTTTTTTTATTGACAAATTATTACAATTTCATTGATGTTTTTCATTTCATTTTCTTTGCATTCATCGCTTCTTCCATTCTCAAACTTCGTCTTATGCAGCAGCATTTTGTTCTTGTGGATGTTGTGGCCTTTTGACTTGTTTTTCAACACGATATTCAAAATTCAAGTTTGTGATACTTTCTTTGATTAGAGAGATCTCGTGTGTCTGTCTGTGTGTATATATATATCATCTTCCTGCTACACATATACATACATTCATTAGGTATAATAGTTTATAGGTAGAGTAAATTAATGTAGTTTTCATTCTATTTCCCTTTTGCAAATGTTTTCTCAAAACACTCTTCTTTATTGGATTTAGAATTTTGGCATTTTTTTTTTCAATAAAAAAATGTGTGCGATTTTTTTCCATTAGAAGAAAAAGAAAGAGTGCTGTGTTTTCTATTTTAAAACAAAAGGACAATAGTACAACTATTTTTCCTTTGTGATTATTTATTGAAAAAATAATTTAAAAAAAATTGATAAATTTTCGTAAGTTATTTTTTATCGAAAATCGAAGTCTTTTGTTGTAGTTTTGGTTTTATAAAAAAAAATCATTACAAGTTTTTGCTTTACTTTTTTGTTTTCAAAGAACAAAATCTCAAAATTCTGGGGGTGGAGGAGTAGGGGACTGCAATTATTATTATTATTTCTGATTTGTGGGCGGGCAATTGTGATGGAATCAAATGTGAAATCTCTTGGAGCCAAAAGAACAATGAGGCACATTTCTTCTACATGTTCTTGTGGGCACCAAACAAGTTATACCTTAATGGCGCTTGGAATAAGAGTTGTTTATGTTTTCTCTCCTATCCCCTAAAATTAATATGAAAGGGATAAGGAATTTGTGATTGAAGTGGGCGAGTGGTGAATGAATGATTGGGTGAATGGATGGATGGTGGTGATCATAAGGAAAAAGACATGTTTTGTTTAGGGTTTTTTTTTCATCTTTTTTATATAATTATATAATAATAATAATTAAGAAATAATAATACATTTGCGAGTTGTTTTCAAAAAATTAAAATAAAATAAAAAATAATAAAAATTATTATAATTTGCAAATTAATTATTTTTGTTTTGTTTTTGGGATGTTCTTGTAAATGTATGTTGTTGCTCTTGTGTGTAATAGTTGTTGGTTTTTAGGTGTGTGGAACGTATGGTTTTCTTTAAAAAAATGATTTTTTTGGAATTACTTCTTCTTCTTCTTTACATCATATCAAACACTGGACCAAAGAGAATTTTCATTAAAAATATGAAAATTTCTTTAGTAGAGCATTCTCTTTTTGTGGTGTATATAAAAACCTCCTCTTTTTCCTCTTGTTGTTGTTGTTGTTGTTAGATCTTAACTTCTCCTTATAATTACTACGACTAATACGGCAGCTACTAAAAGGGTTTCTACGACGTCGTGAACATACACCATAGCAGCATCAACAGCCACCATACAACTGATGATGCAGGTGTCGAGGCAGCAGTGGTGTATATTTTTGATTGTAAGAAGAAACCGCTTAGAAGCACTTTCTGTGCACAATGGAGGGGCCGGATTCGTCGTATTCCTGCTTGGAGATCCACATCTGTTGGAAGGTGGACAAGGAAGCCAAGATGGAACCACCGATCCAGACGGAGTATTTGCGTTCTGGGGGAGCAATGATCTTGATCTTCATGGTGGATGGAGCCAAGGCGGTGATTTCCTTTTGCATACGATCGGCAATGCCAGGGTACATGGTGGTACCACCAGACAAGACAGTGTTGGCGTACAAGTCCTTACGGATATCAACATCGCACTTCATGATGGAGTTGTAGGTGGTTTCGTGGATACCGCAGGCTTCCATACCCAAGAAGGAAGGTTGGAACAAGGCTTCGGGACAACGGAAACGTTCATTGCCAATGGTGATGACTTGACCATCGGGCAATTCGTAGCTCTTTTCCAAGCTGGAGCTGGAGGCAGCGGTGGCCATTTCTTGTTCAAAGTCCAAGGCGACATAGCACAATTTTTCCTTGATGTCACGAACGATTTCACGTTCAGCGGTGGTGGTGAAAGAGTAACCACGTTCAGTCAAGATCTTCATCAAGTAGTCGGTCAAATCGCGACCAGCCAAATCCAAACGCAAGATAGCGTGGGGCAAGGCATAACCTTCATAGATGGGTACAGTGTGGGAGACACCATCACCGGAATCCAACACAATACCAGTGGTACGACCGGAGGCGTACAATGACAATACAGCCTGAATGGCTACATACATAGCGGGTGTGTTGAAGGTTTCAAACATAATTTGTGTCATCTTCTCGCGATTAGCCTTGGGATTCAATGGGGCTTCAGTCAACAAGACGGGATGTTCTTCGGGGGCGACACGCAATTCATTGTAGAAGGTGTGATGCCAGATCTTTTCCATATCGTCCCAGTTGGTGACAATACCGTGTTCAATGGGGTATTTCAATGTGAGGATACCACGTTTGCTTTGGGCTTCATCACCGACATACGAGTCCTTTTGTCCCATACCAACCATGACACCTTGATGACGGGGACGGCCGACAATTGAGGGGAATACGGCACGGGGAGCATCATCACCAGCGAAACCGGCCTTGCACATACCGGAACCGTTATCAACAACTAAGGCAGCAACTTCTTCGTCACACATTTTGTTTGCTATAGGAGAGAGAGGGTGGGGGAAAAATGATGCCAATTAATAATTTGTAATACAAAAGTTAAGAAAATAATGTTAGCGAAGAAAAAAATTACAAGTGGCCAAGAAGACTTTTGCAGAGTTTTAATAGCCTAATATCTGGCTGGAATATTGCAGTGACTCTTCTATTTATTTATTATTATTCTTCTACAGTTCCAAAAGCCCATTGGTGATCTTCGGTTTGATATTTGATTGCTGGTCCAATTTATGCCTTATTTAATTGGAAAGAAATGATGGATCTTTTTGACGCAAATGGTTTCAAGAATTTCTGTTAATTTTTTTTTTTTTTCTTAATTCCTATTGAAAATTTCAATTATTTACACCAAATTTAATTTTTATTTAATTAAATGAAAATGTATTTGTCACACACCTATGACATCTGGCGGCTTTGCCTTTGGTTACAGTAAGTAGTTGGCAACTCCACACTACTCTCTCTCTTTCTTCCGTTTTGTCAATGACAATTCAAGGGAGTAGGAGAGAATCAGGAAGGCAAGACAAAAAAAAATGTACTAAAAATATAATAGCGGCTTTTGTCAAAGCCAGCCGGCTTTTATGTAAAAGAAAACCCAAGAAAAAGGGAATTAAGAAAAGAAAATGGCGTGTACCAGCTAGGTAGGCTACACAAGCACGAAATATATGCATTTTAATTGAAAAACTACGGGAAAATTTTTAATTTAAAATAATTTGTAAAAAAGGAAATTGAGAAAATTTTCTTTTGGCAATGGGGAATGTATCTATAGAACATTCTTGAAGCACTTTTTATTGAAAAGATAAATGCCACTAAAGGTTCCAATGTTCGGGGATAGGGGCTACACAGTATCCAGCAAGAATTAATTTTTTAATTTCTTTTTGCCACTATATTTGGTAATACAGAAAAATAGAACACAATTGCACTTCTTGTTATAACACCACCAAAGTAGAAAAAAAAATATTAGCGTACCGTGTATTTATTTACTGATGAACTGAAGAACAAACGAACCACAAAGCTTGACAGCTGAACTACGAATGAATTGAAGCAAACGTAAAAGTCAGTTAATTTGTGACAATGCCACACCAGTCAGTCGGCGCAGCCGGGCCATATCAAGAAAAAGCAGTAAAGAAAGATATGCGTTTGTGCAAATATGGGTGTGTGCCTGTGTGTGTGTATATCACACACAGCAACAACAAATCAACGAAAGAGAGTAGGCAGATATCGACATATTTAGGAATAACCACGAAACGAAACCCACAACGTTTCAAGATACTCTTTTGCAACACAAAACTGGCTCTCAGTGCCCTTTCATCTGTTTTTGTGTGATTTATGAAAGGCATATATAGCTGTTTCTTTCTCACCCATGGCAATTGCATGACCAAACTCTCTTTGCTTGGAACTCTTTGCGGAGAATAAAAGGCAGGGGAGGGGAAACGCAATCGGTTTTTACGATTAACCATTTTTGTGACCATATATGGTCATGTTTTGTGTTTCAAAGCTTGAAAAATTGTTAAATGAGAATTTTCACCTTGGCCTGTGTGTGTGTAGTAAATATAAAAATAGACATCGAGAGAGAGAGTATGTGTGAGTAAGAGGGGTAGATAAGAGAGTCACACCCAATACCATATTTCAAGATAATGGGGGGTTTTGTAAATTCTTTGAAGAAAAAAATATTGTTCTTTTTTGGAAATGACTGGTTTTTTTTGGTGAGCTACCGGCATTCTTTTCTCTGTGTGTGTGAGTTTTATCAACACACATACCTACATAAATAAATATCTCGAAATGTGCGGAAACAAAATGTGATGGAACATTGCAAAGAATGAACAAAAAAAATGAGTCAAGTTCAAGTTGTGGGCTTGCTTGCTATTTTCAAACTTTGCCGCCACATAGATATGAGAAGTTCTTTGGCCAAATGTGTGTGTGTGTGAATTTTATGCAGTCAACACCAAAAAAAGAAGTTTGGCATGACGTGTTCTTCGCCTGTTTTTTGCTGGTGAAGTCAATGAAATTGATAAGTTTTTTAATGGTGGGAACTGGTTTCTATTATAGGGGAAGTTATATTTTACACGAAACGATATTAGGAAGTATTTTTCGCTTCTAAGGTCAAATTCTAATTAGACCGTTAGAAAAAAAATGCAACCTTGTGCTAGATGGCCACTTTTTTTTGGATGGATCTATGATTTGAAAGTTTTCTAGGTTTTTTCTAAATGGTTTAATTTTTCTCAAAAAAAAAAAAAAAAGATTTTTTTTATAATTTTAATATTCAAATAAAATTGGCACATGTCGATGCAAATTTGTAATAGGCTATAGTTATTTGAGTTAAATTCTTATTGGGAAAATTATTTTTTCCTTTTTTTAATTTTTTTGGGTCCCGTGTGAAAATTTTTCAAATAATTTCAAAACTGCAAAAAAAATCATAAAAAATACTTCCTAAGTTCTATTCCGATTTTTATAATTTCTTAAATTTAACTTTTAACATCAAAAAGATTTTTAAAAAGTGGGAAAAATTGTTACCAGAATACTTTTTGAAGGATGTTTGACAACGAAAATACTGAGTTTCCCGAGGATCTTTTCCCAATTTTTTTTAAAGAAATTTAGATAAATTTCTTTTAACAAGAAAACGGAGTTTCCCGAGGATTTTTCCTCATTTTTTTTTTTTTTTTTTGAAAAAATTTAGATTAATTTCATTCAACAAAATTTTGATGGGAAAATTTGAAAAAAAAATTGGTGGAAAAAAAGGAGGTCAACGCCCTAAAAATATTGAATACTTCAAAATTAATTTTTAATCCATCATTGGTTTTTTTTTTTGTTCAAATTCTCTCAAAAATAGATTATTTCTAGATTTCTTTGAAAATATTTCCCATTTGGTTTGCAAAAAAAAAACCGTAAAATGTGAAAGTCTCTATTTAATGCCCATCTCTTCTCTTCTCATGGAGAAAGTGTGTGAATTTGACGACACCATCAATGGAGTGTGTAACGGTTTAATTTAAATTGTTTGGACGCCGAACACATACACACGCACACCACATTGGCAAAAATGGATGTGTATCTCATAATTATGGATTTTTGAAAAAGTGTAACGGTTTTTTCTGTTCTTTTGGATTTTCAAAACCATTTCCACACAGCACACATGTGACCCGGGTGGCTCGTTCCATATCTTTACTCAATTGCCAGCACCACTATTTCTGATATCTTATCTCAAACCATATTTTTTGATTGATTGAATATTGAGTCACATTTGCCTTGAAATATTATGTAATATTTGATTTGAAATTGTTTATCAGCACTTGAATGAATTTTGATAAATACAAAATTGATAACTGCATTCAAAATTGGGGGGTTTCTTCAGGTAATCCACTTGTGATTTGGCTGTATTTTGGGAACTGGCTGCATTCATCGATTTTTTTTTTTTTTTCAATTCATTGCACAAATTGTTAATTGTTCGTTCTTCTTGCAATATTTTCAACAATTGTTCATTTGTTTGTGATTTTCGTTGTTTTTCCAAAAAAACTGTTCTTTGAGCCACTGTTCTTTAATTTTATTTTTTGTTTCCAAAAATTTCTTTGCCACTTTGTAATTTTTTTCTTTGCAATTTTAAATTTTTTTTCTTCAGTTTTCACCATCAAAAAATACTTACTTTTTTGTTTGTTAAGTTACTAAAAATTAAATAAATAAATTAAGTCTTTTTTGTTTGTTGGTTTGGGAGGTCTCGCGATGTATCCAACACACAGCACAAGAACGCAAACTGTAATGATACTAAAACTCGTTGTGACGGCGCTTATAAAGGCGTCCACCCTTATTGCTCCTTTCGTCGTATGGGTTCTCAATGGATTTTCAGACATTTTACCATATATGGAAATGGATGCACAAAACCATAATTCCAGAGAATAAATGCCGCGCTCTTTTTCTCCTGAAAACGAAGAAAGAGGCAACAACAAAACACACACAGCTACAATAAGCCAGCATGCAGTTGTTTGTCGGGGTTTTGCAATGATAAAGCCGCTCTCTCTCTCTGTGGCTCTCAGGCAATTGATTACTCTTTTGTTTGAACCCCAATAACTGAAAAATGCTCTCTTACCAACAAAAGAAACCGATAAGCAACAATAAAATACATAGGCGAGTCATCAGACTTTGGGGTTTGCTGTGTGTGGTGAGTGTGTGCATGTGTTGTGCGTATGACTGACTTGACTGGCTGGGTGTTGTTGTTGAGCATAAATCGCCTTTTGCCGTTGTTGTTGCTTTTCTCCCCTCCCTAACTCCACACACAAACACTTCTTCTTTTACGGATATCAACAACTAAAAAATTGCTGTTGTTTTTTTTTTTTTCATTTCTTTTTTTTTTCGAAAATGATTCGAGGCTCTGTGGTATTGTTGTGACTCAGTCGTTTCGTTTTAACTGATAAGATTCGTTGAGGATTTTTTAAATAGAAATATTTGTTTAAATTTTACGAATTTTTCGTATTCAATTATTGTTAAACTAAATTGTAAAAAAAAATATTATCAATAAAATAAGGAATTTTTATTAAACCACAATAATCATTGAGTCTTAATAAGTCATTCCATTCCATAAGTCATTCCGAGAAGATTTGCTGTTTATTTTTTGTAAACAAAAAAAGGAACGGAAACCGGACAGACAGAGGAACGAAAGAAAATAAATTAGTAATCTTAAAACTACAGCGTTTAAAATAATAAAAAAATATATTTTTTAAAACATTACAAATCGAACAATATCCTTGGAAATGCACACACCAAAGCGGAATGAGAAGGATACGGCTAAAGTATATTCGTCAATAATAAACAATAAAAGCCGATCACACATAAATAAATAAAATTTAATAAAACAGAGTTGTGGAAAGCTCTTTGCAGAAGATTCACCTAAATTTCTTTCAATTCACTGAAGATGATAGGAAATTCCAATCGAAATATCGGAAAATAAAAAAAAAACAGAAATCAGAGAAAATTTACTTAGCCGAACAATTCCAAAATTATAAAATAAAACCTAATTATTGAAACTAAAAAATAAAAAAATGACAATTAAGGAAAACAAAAATTTTTATATAAATTTTTGTATAAATTATAAAACAAATTTGTTATATTAACAACTGAAAAAAACTTAAGAAACATAAAAATCGAAAAATATAATATAATTTAATAAAAAAATAATAATCGAGTAATGCATAAAAATAATAAACAAAAATAATCATTAAAATTAAGCATAAGAAAACTGAAAAAATACTAGTGATGTTGAACAATGAAAAATATTATAATAATAAATTAATTTATGACAATAAAAAATATAAATTTTCAAATATAAATAATTAAAAATAATTACACAGTGGGAAAAATAATAAAAAATAAATATAAATAAAGGCAATGCAAAAAAATAATTATTAAAACATATAAAGTCTAATATCTTTGGAAAATTTTTCCGAAAATCGGGAAAATTCGAATGATTTCAACGAAATTCTGAAAATGTTTAATCCGAAATTATGAACATGTTTCAATATTTCATTCGAAATGCGGAAAAATATGAATAATTTGGAAAATAATCGGAAAAAATCTAAAGTTTTCGGAACATTTTTTTTAAAAAAATCGGAAAAAATAGATTTTTACGAATTTTTTTACTTAATTGTAATTCGCAAAATTTTCGGATGTTTGATCCGAAATCCGGGAAAAATCTGAATTTTTAAGGTTTCATCCGAAAATCGGAAAAAGTTTGATCAAGCCATTAAAAAATCGGTTAAATATAGGATGTTTGATAGGAAAAGTGTCTGATGTTTGATCGGAAATTCTAAAAATTTTGCAATGTTTGATCTGAAATTAAAACAAAAAATCAAAATTCGAAAAGTTATCGAAAAAAATCTAATATTTTCGGAACATTTTTCCGAAAATCGGAAAAATTTCGAATGATTTAACGACAATTTTAAACCTGATTAAATTTTTTAATTAATTTTAATTCGCTAAAATCTCGGATGTTTGATCCGAAATTTGTTCTGTAGTTTTATCCAAAAATCGGGAAAAATCGATTAAAACATTTGAAAATTGAAGAAATATGGGATGCTTAATACGAAATTCGAAACAGTGTAGGATATTCGATGCGAAATTCATAAAAAATTCTAAAAAATTTCGATGTTTGATTCGAAATTCGTAAAAAATAAGAATAATTTCCCAAATTCCAAAAAAAAAATACTATTTTTCAAAATTCGGAAAACTCACTTTTTTTACAACATTTTTCCATTCGATTCGATTTTCTATTTTCGATGTTTGATTCGAAATTCGTAAAAAAATATGAATAATTTCCGAAATTCCCAAAAAAATTACTATTTTTCAAAATTTGGAAAACTTTAATATTTTCGGAACATTTTTCCAAAATTCGCGAAAATTCGAATGATTTTAACGAAATTTAAAGCCTGATTAAATTTTTTAAGTAATTTTAGTTCGCAAAATTTTTGGATATTTGATCGGAAATCCCGAAAAAAAAATCTAAGTTTGTCCTGTAGTTTTATCCGAAAATCGGGAAATACATTTGACAATCGGAGAGACATGAGATGTTTTATACAAAATTCGGAAGAGTCAGATGTTTGATTCGAAACTCTGAAAATGTTTCGATGATTGATAAGAAATTCTTAAAAAATATGAATCATTTCCGAAATTCAAAAAAAAAATATTTTTTTCAAAATTTGGAAATTTATGGAAAAAAAATTTTTTTTTTCATTAAATTTTCGGATGTTTGATCCGAAATCCGCGAAAAATCTCAACTTTTTCTGTAGTTTTATCCGAAAATCGGGAAAAATCGATTAATACATTTGAAAATCGAAGCAATATTGGATGTTTAATACGAAATTCTTAAAATTGTTCAATGTGGAACAAAAATTGAATAATTTCCAAAAACCAAAATTTGGAAAATGTTTGATTCGAAATCCGGAAAAAAATTGAATTTGTTCTATAGTTTTATTCCAAAATTGGGAAAAATTAGATTAACTCATGATGTTGATACAAAATTCGGAAAACTGTCAGATGTTTGATACGAAATTCTGAAAATTTTCCGTAATTTGATGCGAAATTGGTATAAAAATATCAATATGCTCAATAGTTTTATCCGAAAATCGAAAGAAATTGACTATTTTTTCAAAATTCGGAAAATTATTAAAAAAAACATTTTCGGAACTTTTTTCAAAAAACGTGAAAAAAATTTTTAAATAATTGTTTCTGTTTATACGGTTTTTTGTTCTCAATTTTATTCAGTTTCAATATTTTTATTAAAACGCATGGCATTTTAAAATTATAAATAATTATAAAGTTTTTCCGTTTATTAAGACAATTTTTTTTCATAAAAAGAAAAAAAAATTGATATGGGTTTTTATGGTACTTCCTATAGTTCCCGGAATATGTTCCAATGCCGAACCTAAATAAAAAATATTAGTCTAGTTCCTTCAAAGGGATATGTGCAGAGTACTTGATAAAAATTCGGACACCAGAGCGATCGGAAAAAAATGTTAGCTGAGCCAATACACTTCTAAAAAATAATTAATGAATCGAACTGGAAAACTCCAAAAAATTAATTGAAAAAAAAAATATATATGCAAAATTGAAAAACTGGATCTCTATTTTTTTGTTTTTATTTATTATTTTATTCGACATGATGATGTCGAATCATCAGGATAAATAACATTCCATTGGACGATAGGCACGATCTAACCTCCACGTAAAGGTTTCGTGCACGAAGCTTTCTCCCACTAACCTATTCTCTAAGAATGAAGCTTTGCCTGGGAAACCCAGAGTACCATTTGAAAATAAAATTTACCTCTGAAGTTGGTTAGGTTTTTTGGGCTCTTCGTTTATTTGGAAGATTTATTGTGTCCTAAAATCTGTTTGTAGATAAGCAGTATAACCTTCACAACTTCTCGGTCCGCCAATAGATCCATGTGTATAACAAATTCAATATTGCTATGGGAAATAATGCCCTATTATTTAATTCTATTATGTATTGCTCTATGAACTACCATTTTTTCTCAATTTTTTTTTCAATTAATGTATTTTTTTTTTTAAAATCTCAAATATTTTTCTTATACCTATTTCTAGCCTTACAACAATCTGCTGCTCATTATCGTTTCCTATGAATCACCAGCACAATTTCCTATCCAAGCATTTTTTATTTCCGATAAGTGTAAATTAACCAAGCACTTAGAAAACATGACTTATCTCGCCCTCTCTCTCTCTCTCCATCGGCGTACAACAAATGCTACAATTGTTAAACTTAAAACGAAATTAATCATCGATAATTTATAAAATATGAAACAAAGTAGGTAGGCATTACATCCTTATAAGAACATTTCCTTTATATGAAAAAAACTTGCTTTAAAACGCTCAACTACTCAAATTTCCGATTGAATTTCATCCATAGAAATGAAAAACATATACAGCAAAAACAACTGCCAATTCAACAGCTTCAAAGAACATAAATTGTCAACGATCAGTTACTAAGTTGTCCAAAAATAGTTTGTCATTTGATTTTTTTTTATTTTCAATAAAGTTTTTTTCCTTTTTCCTAGAAACTTCACTTTAAAAACGGCTATTTTAAGCATTCCCTCCCAAATAAAGAGGATACTCACATGTTTGCATTGTGAATGGAGAGAAAGAGAGATAAATAGATAACTTAGTAATCTCATCTCTCGGAGAGCTGTTTGAATTGTAAACATTAAGCCGGTTTTTGCCGCAAAAAGGCGAGACGGGTGTGTGTGTGTGTGTGTGTATCTTAAATTGTGTGTGAGAGAGTACAGATGAAGGCTCTC